TTCTCAAAGCGTTTATTCATTCCCTTATCGGCAACAACTCAAACAGAAGTGTCACGGACCACCATATCTATTTGGATAAGAACTGTCATTCTCCGTGCCTACAAGGCAGCAGGACTTGGACCCACCAACAGCATCAAATCCCATGAAATCAGGGCGTTAGCTTCCACTCTCGCCTTACGGTAACTGTTCTTTGAATACAATTATGGAAGGATGCTTTTGGAAATCTAACATGGTGTATTTTAGCTAATCACTACCTGAGAGATATCACCACCGAGGATGTCTCAGGCATTCACCATTTAGGACCACTGGTCCTCGCTCAGCAGTTGACAATCCCTCGTAACGTTAAAATATTATCTTCACGAAGATTAATATGTATAATTATTACATGCATTATCTAGCTTATAACTCTCACGGAGTTCTAGCAGTATGTATATATGTTCAGTGGTATTCAACCTTAAGCATATACAGAGTCAATTTCATATTGTTGTTTATAATATATCAGTATATTATTAATGTAAATAATGTAATTCCCCTTTATGGCATTATAACCTATGGTTTATAATAGAGGAAACATCCTAAGTCTAAGCCTTCATGAAGTTCCGTAGGGTTATTACAGTTAAATCTATACAAAATCACTAATTCTATAAATCCAAAGTATTCTGTTTTGCCCACCTCTGTTTCCGTGAGGATTCTACAAACAAAGAGCATGAGTCAGGATAAGGAAAAAAATATGTAATTTTTGAGTAAAATTGATATTTTATACTTATCCTGACTCATGAGGTTAGCTCCTCCCATCCTCCCCCACATAACACTTTGGATTTCCCTGTAAATTCAAGTGTTGGGCTCGCATAAAATCAGGAGAGAGTGAAGCATGAGGCCAGAGGGTGGCGACACCTGTTCCCGCCAAAAGGGGCAAGGGAGGCAACTTCGTGGTGAGTACCAATTAGTGATTTTACATTGAAGGGCTTCAATTAAGGAGATACAAGTGTTCCACTATGTTCGCAAGAAGAAGAAGACAAGCAAAAGAGCATGAGTCAGGATAAGTATAAAATATCAATTTTACTCAAAAAATTACATTTTGGTGATTTCACGTGTGCTCTCGCATGCATATGGTGTAATTTGCATCACGAGGAGCAGTCGGTTAATTAGTTGGGTTGACTTGTCAACCGGGATGTTCGGACCTTGTACCATCACACACACTGGCGTAGATTTGACAGGCAGAGGTTAGATCAGCGTGTCAGTCTCCTGCCTCACTTACCTCAGTTTTTGTATAATTCGAATGGATATAGTCGATGCCAATTCCGTCAAATCGTAATCATTTTGATTCCAGAGCATAACTCAAAAAACGTTCAATATTTTTCAACAAAAATTGGTAGATATATCAAACAGAACCTAAGGTGGTGCCTTTTGCTATTTACAGATTTTTGTCATTTTTATTTTTCTGTTTCCATGGAAACGTTTTGGACTTAGTCTTAAAGAGGGGGTGGGCTTCGTTTCTGGAGCATAACTAAAAAACTGTTCAATACTTTTCAACAAAACGTGGTAGATATATCAAACAGATCCTTAAGTGGTGCCTTTTGCTATTTGCAGATTTTTGGCATTTTTATTTTTCCCGGTTTCCATGGAAACGATTCGGACTTAGTTGAAAGGGAGGGGTGGGTTTCGTTTCTGGAAAACTTCTTAATATCTTTCAGCAAAACTTGGCAGATATATGAGACAGATCTTGAAGTGGTGCCTTTGCTATTTACAGATTTTGTCATTTTATTTTTAGTTTCCATGGAAGCGATTAGGACTTAGGAGGGTGGGCTTCATTTCCGTGCACAACTCGAAAAGTGTTCAGTATCTTTCAACAGAACTTGGCAGATATATAAGGCAAATGTTGAAATGGTGCCTTTTGCTATTTACAGATTTTTGGCATTTATATTTCTCATGATTTCCATGGAAACGATTTGGACTTAGTTTTAAAAAAAGTCAAGCTTGACTTTAAGTAACTGTCAGATGATTTGTTCTTTCAAATGTGTGGGGGCCGGGGGGATATGTCATCTTCTGATGACTCTTGTTTTTTCTTGTAGTGGACTCGCCCATAGATGTCATAGCTGCAGTCACCTTGAATGAGCGAGTTCCGAACTACCTATGTTTAGGTTGCGCCTCCATTCAGAGTTGAGGCGCCCCCCCTTACTATATCTGATAATCTCAGGGTTTCGGTCATGAGGTCAATCAGCAGTTTGGAGCTCTAGGCAGTGTTCCTCGCTGTCCGTCACTGGGCACATTATCTTACGGGCAACCCGATTGTTGTGTGGTTTAACAAGAGTTTGACCGGGTTACTGTTTCCAGAAGTTCCGTCTGTTTTCCAGTAATAGCCGACACCCATGTCCGTCTGATAACTCAGCATATTCCTGGGTGTGGGTACATCTTAGCGGACGCTATATCGAGATCTGACAGAGTTGCTTTCACAGAATGAATGCTACACAAAGAGATACTGGTTTATGTGTCTCTGTCTCCAGATTGTCAGCCTGGGCAGTGGATGGCTTAAGCCTTTCCGGGGGGAGCTACATGCAAAATATGTTTCGTCCGGTCTTGCTTCCAAATGTTTTCGTGCCAATCAAGAATTAACAACTTGACTTTGACTATATTTAGTCGGTCCCAGCAGAAACCATATGATATCAATTATATGGTGTCTGGCCCCAGATAACCAACCAGAGGTTGGTTTCCGATAGTGCATCATCCTATTGTGCATCCTCATCCCACGACAGAACGGTTCAATTAACACACTGCATCTGCAGGCGGCATTATGCGCCAATTACTTTTCAGCCAGAGCATTGTTACTGCATTGCTGATGACTCCCATCAGGCACATGTATAACAAGGGTTAGTCATTCGAGCAGTTGTGTTGCCACGAAGCAGGATCAGCTGAATACACCCCCCCCCTGTTTTTAGCAGTTTCCCTGCTGTATTTTTAGACGGAAGGCGTTTCAGGAGGGACATGGCTGCCACTTCTGTTAGTGGCAATTCCCTTCATTTTAGCAGTCCCCATTGACAGGAGCTACCGTCCATGCTTAGTTTATTTAGCACTTGTGTACCCAAGCTGCAGTTTTGACCACCCACAAGGAATCTCAACACGGTCCTGGACCTCCTACGCCAACCTCCAGTACTTCACACACTCGCCTCTACTGTGGCGCTTCACTGTAACTGTACAGTGGCATTGATAATGCAAGAGTGTTTCTAGAAGTCGGACACAGTTTTCACCAATCAGTATCCACACCATATGTGTCCAACGCTTCGGACCATTGGTGCCAGACCAGCACCTCACCAATCCCCAAAGGATATCACATCCTACATTGTTGTTCACAACGAAGCATGACAGTTCTGTGTGGGGGAATGGGTATGTCAGTTTAGGAGTAACACTTGGATAGACTCAGGTCCATGCTTCTTACTGCACTCCCTAAAGCTAATAACGCTTTAAAAATCATGTGGCCTTTTCCATTTAAGTGTACATGGCTTATATGCGAATTACCACTGAGATGTTATCCCTTTCTGTCGACCATTCTTCCAGATTCCACGAAGGTGTCTTCATTCATGATGTTTCTTCCCACGAGGCATGATGTCGCCGTGTGGGAAAAAAGTTGTTCCGAGGGAAACAACTGAGTGTGTCAGATATGGAGTAACACTTGGAAAACTCAAGTCAATGCTCTTTACTGCATTTCCCTAGCTCGCTTTAAAAATCACATGGTCTTTTCCATTTAAGCCTACATGTCTTATATGTGAATTATCACTGAGAGATAGTCACTGTCTGTTGACTATTCTGCCAGGTGCAGCGAAGATACCTTCCACCATGCTTTTTCTTCTCATGAAGCACGCCGACACCATACGGGAAAACAGTTGTTCCAGGAAAACAACTGGGTGTGTCAGTTAAGGAGTCACGCTTGGGTTAACCCGAGTGTCTGCTTTTTACTGCGTTTCCCTAAAACTAATAACGCTTTAAAAATCGTGTGGTATATTCCATTTAAGACTGCATGTTTTATATGCTTATTACCACTGCCTGATTGTCACTCGCTGTCCGCTCTAGGTGCGACGACAGTTTTCCACCACCGAGGCGCACTTGATAACATTGACCGAGCTGTCTTTGTTTACCTTGTGAGGTGATCCCCGCAGATGACACGCCCTCCATCCTGCCTGTGCGATAAATGTGCAGGAAGTAAGTAGTGCAGGATTAGTTAAAAATTTAGTAAAATCTCAATATTTTTTATATTTGTATACTTATCCTGCACTACTTATGATAAGGGCCCACCCTGCGCTTTAAGCTACCTCCCCTCTTCGTTTCCATCTGTGGGATTTACGGCAATAATCAATCGTCTGGCACAGCCATGCTTGAAGTAGTGCAGGATCGTAAGTAATAAGTGCAGGAAGTAAGTAGTGCAGGATAAGTATACAAATATAAAAAATATTTAGATTTTACTAATAATCTGTTGACATTATTAGGGTGTAACTACCTTTTTAGTTATGTTTGACACACTGCATGTTGAAATGATGTTAGGTTTGTTTGACTTGTCATACTGAAACACTGCATGTTGAAATGATGTTAGGTTTGTTTGACTTGTCATACTGAAACACTGCATGTTGAAATGATGTTAGGTTTGTTTGACTTGTCATACTGAAACACTGCATGTTGAAACGATGTTAGGTTTGTTCGACTTGTCATACTGAAACACTGCATGTTGAAATGATGTTAGTTATGTTTGACTTGTCATACTGAAACACTGCATGTTGAAATGATGTTAGGTTTGTTTGAAAACGAATTACTGTAACTTGCACAGATGTCAAAATGAGTTCCTTGTCCTTGTCCCTGTCTCTGTGATCTAAGTTCTTAGATTGTTACTTTCACACTTTAACACATAAAACAATAAACTGATTTGTGGAGCAGGTCCCTGTTCTACTTTGGCCTGTATATTTAGTTGTGATATAGATATTCAGCACATTTACCAGTGTTCACATGTCCTGCAGGTGTCATGTCTGTCGATGAATGGCAGCTCCACACTGGTTGCGTCAGGACAGACTGGGCAGATGAGCGTGGTGCGGATCTGGAAGTTCCAGACTGGGGAATGCCTGGCCATGTGCAAGACTCATGTACATTCTCTCAGCAGTCTCAGGTGAGCTGGCGCCATTGGCTGTCTGTTGATGCACATCTCTGTGGTTTATAGTTTAATCAACTTGCTGTCAAACGACAAGGAAGTAAATAGAGAATACTACACTAGGTCTCATTACATACGAATTATACGAAACGAGTGTCCTTCCTATGGTATCTGACCGAGCGAAAGCGAGGTCATAAACCATAGGAAGGTCACGAAGTTTTGTATAATTCGTATGTAATGAGACCTTTGCTCGGTCAGATACAATAGGAAGGACACTTTCGCTTTACATTATAATTCGTATGTAATGAGACCGAGTGTGGTATTTTATTTATTACCCACGTCTTACATGCATTGAATTGACAAAATAGCGTATTTTTGTTATTGTTATGGTTTCAAAACGAAACCGGTTTCATAAAGTGGTTGCAGAAGTATTTTGTTCTGACGTACACTTTTGCATGACGTCACACTGTATTGACGTCAATACGCCATTTCTCGTCTGTCCCCTTGGTAACCGACGTCACGATGCATGTCAGTTGTCATCGCCTCTCGTACAGCCTCCTTCAGTAAACTACTCCGTAGCACCCTGTTTCTTGGTTTGCAACTGCTTCACCTCGGCTAACATCACTGGTGGAAACATTGCGTTTATGTTTTTCGACGCATATAATGTCTCAGTTCGACTCACAATTAAACAACGACACGGCAACGTTCGCAATGTTTACATTCCCACAATGCATCTAAGTTGTAGAATGAATGAATTCACGTGTTTGTTATGAATGAACAAGTAGTTCCGTCACAACGTGACCTAACTGAGAGGTCATCGGTTATCCAATCAAATCGTTAGAATCTCAGGTCAAGTCGTTACGATACAGGTCAATGTGATACGACACTCGTGTGACGTACGAGATTAGTATGCAACTACCCATACGTTGACCACATGGGTAATAAGAAGCTCTATCTGTTGTCTCATACTTTCATTGACATGCCTTTCTGCTTTGTTCCAGTTTCTCACACAAAGGCAATGTGCTCTGTGGAGTTGGCAAGGACAACCATGGGAAAAATGTAAGAATATCATCTTTCAGACATGTTATGGAACGAGTTGAATCATTTAATTCTAAAGTATCAAGATATATTGTGTTGTTGTTCTATGGCTGTAGTGTTACTGATGTGAGTACGGATGTACTGACGTGTTTTTCAGACAGATGGATTGAGTGTTGTATAACGCCGCACTCAGCAATATTCTACCTATATGGCGCCGGTCTGTAAATAATGGAGTCATGACCAGACAATCCAGTTATCAACAACATGAGTATTGATCGATGTATTGGGATACAGTGCACATGTGTCAACCCAGTCAGCGAGTCTGACCAGCTGGTCCTGTTAGTTGCCCCTTACGACAAGCATTTTTCATGCAGATTTTATTACTCTCTAATGCCAACAAACCCCCAAACAAAAGTGATAACGTAGTAAAAGACTTCTCCCTGTTGTAGATGGTAGTGATCTGGAACACATCACGTGTAGCCAAGAGCAGGGAGGTGACTGTCATGGCCAAGGCTCATTCTGATGTCGACATTAGCAGAATGAAGATTGCAGCATTTGATGACACAAGGTGACTTTTAGGCTTAAAATATGATAAAAAAATTTGTCTGGTAAAGAATAAGCACCAAGTGAGTTGAATGAATCAGCAGTCATGCTTTAGAGGAGTGAGAATGCATGTATTTTCATCACAGATTTGACCACTTGACTTGAAACTAGCTTACTACCCAGATAACTGATTGAAAGCTGAAGTGATATAGCTTGTGTGAAATTGAACAATGAGACAGATTTGTCATTTTTGCTTTTCTTATGACCTTTGGTCAGCTGACATAAGCATCAGAGTAAATGATGAAATCTAACAGAAAATATTACATGTACAACATAGACTGCCTATGGCATAAAACATGTTGTTTATTTCATTCTATGAATGCCTTAAAGGTCACATGCAACCAAAAAATCAAACATAATTAAAACACAATTATCACTTATTCATGACATATAATATACATTGCTGGTTATGAAAAAACATATAAACAAAATTATAAGCGTACAATCGCAAATCAAAAGTGCAATATTGTGTACTTGGGTTTACTTCCCAAGAAACAAAGCAGCCGGGATACCGAACCCAGTCAGAGCGGGTGGGTGTGCACTCAAGTGTAACGGCTGGTTCATTTGCAGATGCTCTCACGGCTCTTTGTGTGTGTGTATATAGAGATGTTGGGTTTTGTAAATACATGCTCATTTTTAGTGTATAACATTTTGCAATCAACAGACATCATAACATGTCATGTGTACAAGTATCACACCTGCCTGTCTGTGTAATTACATAATGTGACAGAGACCGAACTTGGGCCATAAATCAATGCGTTTTGTTTATGGTGTATAGCCTGATTGGTGTTAAGTTCAAATTGCATGTGGTCAGTGATCGCTGTTGTGTATTGAATATTGTCATTAGCAGACAGGCAGACAGACACACAGGTGTCAATAAAACAAGACATTGAGTTTTGTCTGTGACAACAACATATCTATATCACAGTTAAAAATTCTGTCAACGCTAAATAATGACATTGCTTTTAAGTATCGAACTGAGAAAGTGACTCGGTAAGAAGAACGCAGGGTGAAATAGACAAATGAAATTATATAAACAGTTAATTTACTGTCATAACATATAAAAGCTCGCCTTCGTGAGATATCAACAAAACATTAGGAAAATAGCTCACACCAAAGTCTTCACCGAGTATTCACCGGACAGCCTGCTTCCAAGTTGCGCGAACCTATTTCACTGCGCACGTGCTATGAGCCCAGCCCTGCTGTTGAAACCAGTTTTCCCCCGAAAAGTCGGGGGAAAATTAGTGAATCGTTTGAACTCTGATTTCGCGCGGTTTTTTTCATCGCGTTATTTTTCAACTTTATAAGTTGAATTTGCATTTTTGATGATTTGTTTCTGAAGTCCATCAGAAGTTGTGTTTTACGTTGCATGTGACCTTTAACATAACCATTCAAATGATGAACCAGTACAAGACAAAGCCTTCCATACCTGGGGTGTCTAAGCAAAGTAAGATTGTGACATCACTTTTCAGCCATGACACCAAAGAAGACATTGTCACATCCATAGACTGGCAGAATTTACAACAGCTTAACCGCTTGACCAGCTGATCAACACATTTATATGAATTTATGAATTTCTATTCAATATTAAATTCAGTGTCTAAGAAAGTTTCAGATCTTTGCTGCTTCAATCAACTTGTGCTAATTTGTTTAATATCAAAGTCACTTAGGTGAGATTCTTTGTATATCTTATCTTCTGTATCCTACGTTTTTAAAGATTCTGTGTAAGGAGTCAGTTTTAATAAGAACACTTTTCTCCATGGGATAACACAGGTCTCTCATGGGTATATGGTTACCTGATAGACGTTGATAAATATGCCCTGGATAGAGATGATATATTCTCCAAGAATATAGAACATATTTTCTCTTATTTTCTGAGGATGGTTTCCTGTGGCGGGACAACATCCGTTGTGTCGGCGAGTGAAGGAAGGGTCGCTGAGGTCTGCGCCGGTGCAGCTCGGCGAAAGTACCACAACATGGAGTTTACTGATGTCAGCTTCGAGGCCCGGGCTACCAGCCAAACAAAGCCCCAGAGGAACGTATTGTGTAAGTAAGGACAGACATAAATGTTGATTTCAGTGTCCTCAACTGAAAATCCAGTGAAATCTGTTAGATACTTCAGAATAATCTAATAAGGTTGCCCACCCTTGATCATTTGATGGGCTTCTTACCAGAGGAGGAAAGGGGAGATTATGATAAGAATACAAAGTTTGGTTGACCATTTAAAGCAGTTAACTCAAGTTTGTATGTTACCAACATAAACTGATGGAGTGTTCTAACTTACAGAAACATCTAATTGCAAGAAATACCAGAGGACAAACAATGACTCAGGATACCTTTTATTGAAACATTACTGTAATTGCGGTATACAATTATTGTTTTAGCTTACCTTCAGCCGGACTAATGCTCATACCTACCTGTTAAGCTACCTACCTTAAGTCGAGTGGAAAACGAGGTGTAAACACAAAACAACCCCACCTGGCAATTACCTCCCCTTCCCTGTCACCAATCTTTCCTGCGCCTCGTACCTGTAGGACATGTGGACTAGAGCTCTGTATTTTCCTTTGTTGGAAGTGTTGTTAAAGTATGAGTAGTTTTTACTTACCTTTTTTTCTTGGTGTAAATGTACTTGTTGCTTTGGTAACTTTTTTCCGTGACTTTGAACACTTTTTGCATAATATCTTGTGAACACTTGTTGTTGAACTGAAGCATGGCTTCCAATTGCTTAGGGGCGGTGGGGTAGCCTAGTGGTTAAAGCGTTGGCTCGTCACGCCGAACACCCGGGTTCGATTCCCCACATGGGCACAATGTGTTAAGCCCATTTCTGGTGTCCCCCGCCGTGATATTGCTGGAATATTGCTAAAAGTGGCGTAAAACTAAACTCAGTCAGTCAGTCCAATTGCTTAAAATGTCAACGGAAGCTTTCTAAGGCTGACCCCCTCAGTAGTTGGCCGTCTTGCCTTGAGAAGGATGGCTGTGCTCCATGTTCTGTTGAACTGAAATGCATCCTGTGTGATAAATTGTCCAAGGAGGATTTCAATGCATATCTGAAGGCTATTGCTAAGCGGGAGGCTGATCAGTGTTATAAGAAGAAGCGTCAAAGATTTATCGTCCAGAGACAGAAGTTCGACTGAGCCAGATTGTTATCGTGCCAGCAGTCATTCGTCACGTCAGTGGGATGCTTTGTTGGAGTGTTCTGGTCGATATGTACGGAAACGATCGACGTGGACGAACGCATCATTACGATTCAGCAGATCGAGGTGGTCGTTATGAGCGTTCCAAGGATCGAATCCCTGAGCACTATATGGATTTTCATTATGACGACCATGAAAGAACCAATACTGAGTCGTCTCGGCAGTTTGGCAATTCTTGTCTCTCTCGGTATGATCGCCCTACTCATTATGATTGTGACAGGTCACGGTCCGCTACCCTCTTCACATTATGGACGGAGGCGTTCTTACGAGGATGATTTCTCTTCTCCACGTCATTGTTCTCCTTATTCTTACATGTGTAGTCGTTCGCCGCGATGTCGACCTCCTATGGCGACTGTTACTTCATCCAGTGTGTACCCTGATGTCTCACCAATTAGTTCAGCATCAGCTCCTTCTCTTACCGTACCGGCCAACAAATTGTCACAATTACGTACTGTGCTTTTTCCGTCTGTCGGCCCTGTTGTTCAGCCGACTTCATCGTTCTCTACGGTGCCTACTGCGACTCCGCCTTTGTCATTGACTGTTCCCTCCTCACCTACACTGGTTTTGGATGCAGGGGATGATAGCCCACCTCGACCTCCATGGGACAGTGAAGTGTTGGCATGGATCTCAAACTTTATGGATGCTTACGATGCATCAAACCCCACAGCTGGGGGTTTTCAGCTTGGGGACACCCCAGACTCTGTCCGTTTTCTGCCGCCTTCCTCATTTACGAAACTTCCTACAGACATGAATGCGTGTTTTTCATCAACGTTGCCGTCTCAGCCATTTGCTAAACCTGGATTGCGCCATAAGTTTTCCATATATGGACTATACTGCTCCTGTCTCTAAATATCATGACTGGGCGATTGATGACAAACATTTGGAATCTGTAGACGCTTAGCGGCGCAGCATCAACTGTTGGCCATTGGCCATGGTTTCCACTACGATAGATTGTCTCAATAAATTCTTCGAGGTTAAGGATGACCTATCGGTGGCTGTTGACGTCAGCACAGGATCTCACTTCTTGCGGTCGACTCCACTTTCGTCCCCTGCAGAGGTTTCTTTTACCCACAGCTGCTGTTTCCCGATCGTCTGCTTCTCCTGCCACTCCATCTCCGTCGTCATCTGGAGTGGTGGCTCCTGCCGTCGAACTTTTGCGACGGTTTCTCTCTGAGAGTGCCTACATTTCAGTCTCATCTTTGTCGACGCTTCCCTGGAGGGCTGGGGAGCTCATTTCGACGACGATCAGGTCTCTAGGCGGTCTCGAATTCGAAGCAGTCATTCGGGCCATTTGACATTGTGAATGTTGCCTCTTCGGCAACTCACAGTCAGACGGTCGTCCACTATATCAACCCACTAGGATCGACTCAGTCATCTGCTGTCCTTGACCTCATGTTTGAGTTCTTTGCCCTCGTTGACGCCTTACACATGGAGGTCCGGGCCTGCCACATTCCCTGGGCCAAAAACATGATTGCCGATGCTCTCTCTTGACCATCTCGTCCCTCTCCCACAGAGTGGATGCTCAGTCTAATCACCTTTTGCCTTCTGACGGAGTATTTCTGGACTCCACAGGAGGATCTGTTTGCGACACGACACAACAATCGTCTTCCTCACTTCATGTCACCTGTCCTGGATTGGCTGGCTTCGGCCACGACGCCCTGGCGATATCGTGGGAAGGTCTCGGCGCTTATGCGTTCCCTCCAACTGTTCTGTTGCCTTTAATCTCCCATTCCGGGAGGATCTTCTGTTGCATCCACACAGCAACGCCCTGCATGTACGATTACACAACTTCACGGGTGTGATTGCTCAAAGCCTCGTTGATCGAGAAGGGTTACTCGGCTAAGGCTGCCAAGCTTATCTTCTCTGCTCATCGTGTCACAACTTATAAACTGAAGAGGAGTGGAAAGAGGTTGCTGAAGGTTTTAGTTCCAGATGGATCTACCACAACTGTCTGTGGACTGTAGAGGCAAGCACGTTGCTATGAAGAAGCCATCCACATCTGGATCATTCTACTACAATTATATGGGCTTCTACAGCATTGTGGTCATGGCCCATTTAGATGCTTGAAACAAGTTCTTGTATGTTGATGTTGGGGCAGAGGGTGGTGCTTCACTGTACTTTGCACAAAGCTGTCGAGGACAACCGAGCAGGACTGCCTGGACCAGCTCCGCTCCCTAACGATGACAAGCCTGTGCCATATCATTTCGATGTCCATAATTGGGTCTTTGCAGTGACATTCAGCCAATCCTTCTGCTTTTGTTGAACAGCTGGGGGTGCTGCTTAACAAATTTGGCCAGCTTCATAGTTCCCTCATCCGTCTATTTTAGTCCAGTATTTCTTTCTTGCTAACTCTGATCCCTGTTTCTGCTCTGTTTGGGGCTCTTCTTGGGGCTCTCCTTGAGGTGCAGAAACATCAGCACTTGAGTGGGATGGGGGAGAAATATCCCTCTCACTCTCTGCAACCTCTGTCTCTGTTTCTTGTCCGTGTGTTCTTCCAGTCTTCTATCCACTGCTGGTCCCACTCTTTCTCTGGTTGTCTTCTTCTTCTTCCTGGCAGTCATCTTGTTGACTGTTTGCTGTCTAGTTGAGGAATGTGGGGACTGGCGATGGGGGCGCTTTTATGTACGCACTGTCAAGTTGATTCGTGCACTAACAATTTGTGAAGTAGGCGTGCCCAATGCGTATCTATTATGTGACATGCACAAACTATTCGTGCCGTGCATGACCATGTGAACAAGTCGTGACAATACGCAAGTCCCGCCCGCCATCTTCACGACAAGTTAGAAGGCGTGAACTTTGCGCAGTCTGTCGCTGTCATGGCGCACAGTTTGTGATCAAAGCGGGAAAATGCGTGACACTGCATGTCAATGCGCGCAAGGCCGGAAATTGACACGCTTTGATACGCATCGCCAGCAATGTTTACGAGTAGGTTTGCGCAATGTTCACGACTAGTTCATGCAAGTGGCAGGAAGATTATGCGTTCCAGAATTTTTGAACATTTTAAAATTGTCTTTGCGCACTTGTACGCAGCCCCGCACAGTTTATGCACACTTCACAACAGTTTGCGCCGAATTTACTCATTGGCACGCAAAATTGCGTACCAGTGGGGAGACAAAATTCGTGCAAGTGTCAAGGTGGCTTTACTAGTGACTCCTTTGAACCGCTGGATACAGTCTCTTTTGACCTTCTGACTCGAAAAGACGGCTTTCTCCTCTCCTTAGCTACGGCGGCTAGGGTATCTGAGCTTCATGCTATCGATTATGGTCGGGTACAGTTTGACCAATGTGTCCACGGCGATGTCCATCTTGGCTTACGGTGGGATTTTCTAGCCAAGAATCAGCTTCCTGGCCAAGAGGCTAGAATGTTTCACATTCCTCTCCTTTCCACCATTCTGGGTTCTCAAGATCATGCTGACTTGTCCCTTTGTCCAGTGCGTGCTTTACGCATTTACCCTCAACGTTCTGAATTATGTCGAAAGAATTTTCGTCGTTTGTTCATCCTGTTATCAACAACCTCCAAGTCAGATCATCAGGTATACTCTTTCTTGCTGGTTACCGGCTGTGATTCTCTGGGCATATGCTGTGCAGAATATGGACCCACCGTCCTCTTCCCACCCTCACAAAGTTCGAGCGCTTGCGTCGAAATTAGCTCTCCATGGTAACTGCTCCCTACAGGCTATTATGGAGGGCTGTTTTAGGAAATCAAGCTTGGTTTTTCGCCTCTCACTATTTGCATGATATCTCTACGGCAGATGTTGCAGGCATGCAGCAATTTGGGCTCTAGTTGTCGCGCAACAACTTTCCAACACAACTTTCTTGACTCCGTGTAATTACTGCAATATAACGTTGGTGAACGTGATTCACTCTTGTTCTTTATTGCAAGGCAGTATTATGATTCCATGTTTTCCTTCACCGTTTGTTGTGGTTTAGTTCACTTGGTCATTGATCCAGCAGGACGTTGTTACCTGGTATACTGCACATCTTCGTTGTTCTTAGCGAGTTCTGTCGTTGATATTTGCATCCTCGATCATTCATCTATTTTCTACTTGCTTACATAACGAGCTGGCCAGCCTTATGTTCTTGTAGATTGTTGCGATCATGTAGTTATTGTTCTTTCTTTGCGACTTTGGGTAAACACGACCCTCTTTGTGAAGTCTGCCTCTTTGTGAAGTCCGTGTCACCAGGATTGTGTCAGCTTCACATAGACAATTATACTGTTTGGGCCTTGTATCCCACCACCTGCCAACAGCTGAATGTATCGGTAAGCCATAACATGTTTTTTTTAGATTGGAAACATTGTTTTAACAAGCTTACATTCAGACGTACGGTTTAGTCCCACCCCTCTGGACTTTGGCCTTTTTGTCGCTCTGTTATGGCTTTCTGGCCTTAGACTCTGGAAAGATTGGTGACAGGGAAGGGGAGGTAATTGCACAGGTGGGGTTGTTTTTGTGTTTACACCTCGTTTCCACTCGACTTAAGGTAGGTAGCTTAACAGGTAGGTATAAGCTTTAGTATGTCTGAATGTATGCTTGTTAAAACAATGTTCTTAATCTAAAAAACCCATATATTTGGTTAGCTGTTTTATATGTGTGTAAAATCACAAAGATGTATTTCAATAATGGATTACCAGACCTTTCTCTCTGTTGCTGATATTAGTGTTGATGTTTTAGGTATGCAAGTAGTCGGTCAGGCTACATATTTGAGATTGACTACCAGAAGTTATCAATCAGACATGTCAAACGTCTTCTTCCAACTGTCAAGTCAGCAAAACGAGAGAAAGAGACATTAAAATCAGGTGAGAAAGGCATGGTTTTTGCTGACTCAGGAATCCTTGTTTTTTAAAGCTGTATGAGCTGTAATTATCTGAATCAAAATCACTCCATCGGAAAGGGCGTAACTAAACGTTCTTTATGATATCAGTTATGTAAACAATTTTGGTATTTGAGATTAGTAAGAACTTTGTAAGTGGTGAATCCAGGTCCAGTATTCTGTACGAAAATGAAAAATATATATCCCTCTGTATAATGGGAAATTCTTATGTATTGACAAGTACTTTTGTGTGTTGAGACTTACAGTTAGTTGTGAAACTGTCATGCCATGTACTCTGTGAGCTACAAGGAGTATGACCGCCTCTGTGGTGTAGTGGTTAGAGCGTCCGCCCGGAGAGCGGAAGGTCGCGGGTTCGATCCCCGACCGCGTCATACCAAAAGACGTTAAAATATGGTACTTGTTGGTCCCTACCTGGCACTCGGCATTAATGGGTACAACAAGGACTGGTCGACTCGGAGTCAGTATACTGTGTCTGAGTGGGGTATTCATGCTTCACTGCGGCATGGTATCTCAGTGGTCTAGCACTATAAAACCAGCTTAAGTCTGGGCTAGTACACGCAGCCGCACATACACATCAACACGCATGCACTTCGTCATTTGAGCGAAATATTCTCAAGCACGACGTTAAACCTAATTTCACCTCACCTCACAAGGAGTATGAATTTACAGGGACCGGTATTGGCATCAACAGCATCTCGGTGAATGAGACGTTCTGTGTGACAGGCTCTGATGATGGCTACCTCCGTCTATGGCCGCTTGACTTTGCACATATCTACCTTGAAGCTGGTAAGAGGAACACAACCTTGAGAATGTTTGAGATATTTTCAAATATTCAGTAGTGAAAATAATCCTAGAGTTGAAATGTTTACAAGTTTGTTTATCAAAAGTGTAAGAAATTGTAAGATAAAATAGGTGTGCCTGATGAAGCCAGATGAAACAAGCCTGACATATCACTGACATATTTCAGAGCATGAGGGCCCTGTAACTGTGGTTGACTTGTCTCCAGACGGTCTCAAGATCCTGGCCGGCACAGCTTCAGTAAGTATAGTGGTACTAGTCAGTAACAGTCAAAATGGTTGATGATACATGTTTCGGGTGGGACAGGTTTTGAACAGAATTTAGAAGTGATACTCATTAAAGGTGAGAATTTATGGATGTCAATGTTTGGGGGTATATTCTTACTTCTACATCAATTCACCTGATGATGGAGTCAGAATAAACTCCGAAACATTGTGTTACTCATAAATAGATAGAAAAACATAAATCACAGTAGTTTGTAGATAAAAATCTCACCTGATGATTTGTTTAGGGCAACTTGGGCACCCTGGATGTGTCAACCAAGAGCTACACGACTGTGATGAGGTCTCACACTGGCCGTGTCTTTGGTGTTGCTGTTGATCCCTACCGGAAACACCTGGCCACTGTGTCGGAGGACCACACCATCAGAGTGTGGGATGCAGACAGTCTACAGCAGGTGGGTGGACATAAAGTATGCTGGAATACACAGGGGCCATGGTTTGTATCTTGAAAGGAGAGCATGAAATTACATGTGTTCTAAAACCTGTTTCATAAAATCATGATATTTAACACATGGATGTAATAGTGTCATGGATATAATATCCATCCAGTCATTATACTTATTTCATTGAGAAATCTGGTTGAAATGGACATATAATTGTTTCCTTATCCAGATGTGTATGACATTTGTGTATGACGATCAGCCTTGTTTGTTGTTTCAGCTGTATGACTTCAGCTCGCCGCAGGAGTGTCCATGTGCTATCAGCTACCACCCATCACGCCAGATTGTGGCCTGCTGGTTTTCAGAGTGGAGTTGTCAGAGTGTTCAATGTACAGACTACCAGTATCCTAGCTGAACACAGGTAGGCTTTAACATACTCCAGTACATGTAGCCAGTGTTGAATCTTGCTAGAATATAGGTAGACACTGACATACTCCAGTGTTGAATCTTGCTAGAATATAGGTAGACACTGACATACTCCAGTGTTGAATCTTGCTGGAATATAGGTAGACACTAACATACTCCAGTGTTGAATCTTGCTGGAATATAGGTAGACACTGACATACTCCAGTGTTGAATCTTGCTGGAATATAGGTTGAATCTTGCTGGAATATAGGTAGACACTGACATACTCCAGTGTTGAATCTTGCTGGAATATAGGTAGACACTGACATACTCCAGTGTTGAATCTTGCTGGAATATAGGTAGACACTGACATACTCCAGTGTTGAATCTTGCTGGAATATAGGTAGACACTACTCCAGTGTTGAACATACTCCAGTGTTGAATCTTGCTGAATATAGGTAGACACTGACATACTGTGTTGAATCTTGCTGGAATATAGGTAGACACTGACATACTCCAGTGTTGAATCTTGCTGGAATATAGGTAGACACTGACATACTCCAGTGTTGAATCTTGCTGGAATATAGGTAGACACTGACATACTCCAGTGTTGAATCTTGCTGGAATATAGGTAGACACTGACATACTCCAGTGTTGAATCTTGCTGGAATATAGGTAGACACTGACGTACTCCAGTGTTGAATCTTGCTGGAATATAGGTAGACACTGGCGTGAATCTTGCTGAATATAGGTAGACACTGACATACTCTCAGTGTTGAATCTTGCTGGAATATAGGTAGACACTGACATACTCAGGGACACTGACATACTCCAGTGTTGAATCTTGCTGGAATATAGGTAGACACTGACATACTCCAGTGTTGAATCTTGCTGGAATATAGGTAGACACTAACATACTAAAGAATGTATAGCCAGTGTTGAAGCTTAGCAGAACATAGGTCATCATTGACATACTCCGGTACATGTAGTCAGTCAGTCAGTGTTGAATTTGGGGTGGTGGGGTAGCCAAATGGTTAAAGCGTCCGCTCGTCATGCTGAAAAATGTGTTCAATTCCCCACTTGGGTACAATGTGTGAAGCACATTTCTGTCTCCTGCCTTGATATTGCTGGAATATTGCTAAAAGCAGCATAAAACCATACTCACTCAGTGTTGACTTGTGGAAGTACACACAGGTAGGCATTGCTGTCCTCCAGTACTTGTAGTAAAACAATAATCAATATTGGAAGACTGGGTTCTTTGTGTTCCATGAGGTTTTTTCAATTAATGGACCTAATGAAAGTTTATGATATTGAATACAGAACGATTGTGATGTTTAAAGTCATACTGATTGCACAGTCTGAATTGTTTGAATCATCGGAAATGCAAAGTATACATTTATCTGCCAGCAATGGTGGAGGCAGACAGGGCTAACTACATAGAAAATATCTAACTGAATGGTACCATGTTTTGTCAGACAGCACAGAGGCAAGATAATTGGCCTTTCCTACTCCACATCTGGCGACTACTTGTACAGTGCATGTTCTTTGGGATCTCTCGCCCTGTATGATGCCAGCTCCAACAGCTACAACATCATCCGAGTGCTTGGCAACACTGTTGCACGTGGGGAACGACATGGTCCAGATGCACTTGCAGTGAGCCCCTGTGGAAGACGAGTGGCTTTTATTGGTCCCTCTGATCTCACTGTCAGCATTGTGGATGCCAAGAGTCTGGACGAGGTCTGTATAGCTGATTTGAAACTTTAAAGTAGGGGTTAACATTTCTGCAATTGGACCATGTGAATCTTGACAATAACCCCTTGGACCCCTCAACAAATAATCACTGTAGTTCATTGTTCCAAAGGGCAGTGGGGTAGCCTAGTGGTTTTGCTCGTCATGCTGAAGACCCCGGTTCGATTACCCGGGGACACCTCACTGCTTTTATTCAGGTTACTAGTGCAGATACTACTTACTAGTTACCGTGAAGATATGGTTTAGATTTGGATTTCAGCAACCCATGCATGTTGTAAGAGGCAATTAATGGGATTGGGTGGTCAGGCTCGCTAACTTGTTGATACATGTCATCATATCCCAATTGTGTAGATTGATGCACATCCTGTTGATCACTGGATTGTCTGGTCCAGCCTTGATTATTTACAGACTGACACCATATAGCTGGAATATTGCTGATTGTGGGGTTATTAAATTAAAAAAAACAAATAACACAGAGAGTTGTGTCTTTTATTACCCACGTGGTCAACGTATGGGTAGTTGCATACTATTCTCGTACGTCACACGGGTGTCGTATCACGTTGACCTGTGTCGTAACGACTTGACCTGAGATTCTAACGATTATATTGGATAACCGATGACCTCTCAATTAGGTCACATTCTGACGTAACTATTTTTTCATACATAACAAACACGTGAATTCATTCATTCTACAACTTAAATGCATTGTGGGAATGTAAACATTGCGAACGTTGCCGTGTCGCTGTTTAATTGTGAGTCGAAATGGACATCATATCCGTCGAAAAACATAAACGCAATGGTTCCACCAGTGATGTTAGCCGAATGAAGCAACTGCAAACCAAGAAATGGGGTGCTACGGAGTAGTTTACTGTAGGAGGCTGTACGAGGCGATGACAACTGACATGCATCGTGACGTCGGTTACCAAGGCAGTGACATCATTACAGTGTGACGTCATGCAAATATTGTACTACAGTACAAAACTCTTATGAAACCGGTTTCGGTTTGAAACCATAAAAATAACAAAAATACACTATTTTGTCTATTTAATGCATGTAAGACGTGGGTAATAAATAAAATACCACACTCGATCTCATTACATACGAATTATACGAAACTCGTGACCTTCCTATGTTATCTGACCTCGCTTTCGCTCGGTCAGATACCAAAGGAAGGACACTCGTTTCGTATAATTCGTATGTAATCAGACCTCGTGTAGTATTCTCTATGTATCTAACCACAGGTGATGAAGTTGGACATCAGTAACATAAACCCATCGAACAGCCTGAAGACAACTCTAGACACGGCTGTCAGAGTAGCTTATGCCCCTTACAGTGTCGGACATCTCCTCGTCACCACGTCAGAGAACAAACTCATCAAGTTTGATGCCTCATCGGGAAGGCTTTTAACAGAGGTAATATTTTTATCATTCCTCTTTTATTGATGTTTCTGATGATGTAGGATTTTGTTTCGTTTGTGTTTATTTTGCCAGACAGGAAGTAGTAGATGTAATGGCTTTTGATGATGTGATGGATGTTTAAAGTTGGTGTTCCTGTGTCTGTGTGTTCCCAGGTTGAGCACATACATCGCAGCGGGTGTACGTCACTCACTACAACAAGTGATGGACGCTACCTGGCTACAGCGGGGGACCGAGTGGTCAAGATATGGGACTATGCAATGAACCTTGATATCAACTTTCAGGTCAGTCTGACCACTCTCCTACAACTGACAGAGCCTCATTAACCTAATGACAGAATCTTGTAGGTGGAAGAGAGGATAGAATGTAGAACTAGATTCTGATGTGTCACATGTATCCTTTGTTACAACTTTGTCTATGCTGACAGTCTATCCAAAGAACAACTGCCCTTAATTATACAAGCACTATACGTATCCTTGGCCAAGGGACAAAACAGATTGTTTCTCTTAGAATTCCTTAACCTAGCATATTATATTCAACTTTGAATAAATGATGTACTTTATTGTTTTGGATGTTTCACCTCTGTTTACATATTTCCAGGTGTTCATTGGTCACAGTGAGAACATCTGCCGAGTGCTGTTCACCCCAGATGGGGAAGGGTTTCTCAGTGTAGGGGAGGCACTGTACCTGTGGGACTTCCTAGCGGTCAGGCCACCAACGCCCACTGAGTGAGCACATTGTATACATTGTTTTACCATGGGGGGGTTCAGGGTTAGAAATGCAACAGGTCATCCTCTGTGTAAAGAGAGGGTGGTCAGGCACAGTGACTTGACTGATTGCTTGTTATCATACACCAATCATTATCAATCATAATAACAATCACTAGATTGTCTGTGTGTACAGTCTTCCATATTTGGTTTATTGTTGAGTGTGGCATTAAACTAACTGTGTTATACAGATGCACACTTAAGAAAGTTATATCATCAGGGCAATTTCATGGTTAATTTAAACACAGCACTTGATATATAAAGTTCAACACCTGTTCATTATGCATAATGTGTTGAGGCTACTTCTTCCACTAAATCAGCTGGACTCGTGAAGATCCAGGTTAGAATTGGTCTTCAGTAACTCATGCTTGTCGTAAGAGGCGACTAACGGGATCGGGTGGTCAGGCTCACTGACTTGGTTGACATGTCATCGTATCCCAGTTGCGTAGATTGATGCTCATGCTGTTGATCACTGGATAGACTGGTCCAGACTCGATTATTTACAGACCGCCGCCATATCTGGAGTATTGCTGGGTGTGGTGTAAAACAACTTACCAAACCAAACCAGAAACTAAGTCAGCTGGATGATGAGTACCAATGATGATTCCCTGGGTCTTGTCTGCAAACGGTCTTCGTGCTTAGACAATGATCACTCCTATGCTTTAACATAGACTTGTGGTGTGACAGTTCTAGGGCGCTGATCACGTTATGGAACAGTATCCAAGACCTGTACGTGCTCTGACTGTTGTGAGGATTTGCTGACTTATGGGAGTTGCAGTTGTCCTGCTTAGATTGTTTTGTGGAAGGGAAGCCAGATGAGGGAGCAAGATGTAGCTTCCAAACATTGTGTATCTCTGTGGCATGTTAATACTTACATGTAGTGTTATGAACATTTATGTATGATCTTGGAGGTGATAGATATAGTGAAAGGAAGCCCATGCTCTTTTTTTACAGAGGTCGGCATGTGGACAAGGTGTATGGAGCCAAAGAAATAGGTATGTGATCTTTTTGGTGCATTCAGTTTTTGTATTGCAGTGTTTCATGATGATACTTTGCCAGTTTAAGAGCTGCTTTAATGTGAATTAAGGAACATTTGTAGTTGCCATTTATTGTGACAATATCGGACATATAAAAGGCTGTCTTTTAAATTTTGTTATTAATTTGGTGCGTAATATGCTATATGGCCATGTCTCAAACTAACCTCAGCTTAGAGTTTTGTTTTTATTTGTAACTATTGATTGTTTTTTCTTGTAGATGTGACATCACAGTTGGAAAACATGAGTCGATCGTTCGGCGGCTCCTACACAGACCTACCCAGACATACGCCACCCAAGCCAGCTTCGCGAGGATCTCCTGTCAGGGTGGAGGACCTCAGCTCCATATACAAACACTCAAATGGATGTATGTCACCTTTGAAATACATTTCATATTCAGGAAAATGAACAATTGACATATTGACCAGGGATCTGTTGCCATATGAAATGATGCTATGAACTATCATCAGGTGGAGTAAAGGGATAAATCTAACTGGACTGATGACTTTTGAACTTTTGCTGATTTATTGGTCGGTATTCAGAGAAATATGTGTGTCATGACAGTAGGAGCAGATCTTAGTGACAAGCTGCTTATTTGTGGAAACTTATGCGAAATAAATTACCATTACCCAACAATTATGAGTTGCCTGCATACAAATGTGCATCCTTGGTAGCATCACTTCATTTCTAACTAAATGAAGCCTTTCAAATTGTATTACCTTACGTTACTTTACTGATTGGATACCAGCATCTCGGTTCATATATATACACATGAACTTAATGTATTGAATAATGACCGGTACAAAAGGTGTTACTATGGATGATAATGGATAAAATTCCTTTCTTTCAGTCAGTCGTCACCAAAACTATCAATTGTCGTAGTTCAGTTTAATTTTCTGTTATGTCCAGATCATGATGATGTAGAGTCTGTGACCTCTGACAGAGAGATCATTGTGAGGACCGAGGCCATGGACAACAGGCATGCAGACTCTGAGGAGGAGGAGAACCACCAGGTATGTCGTCATAGAAACAGAACAATCATATATCCAAATACCCAAATATTACGGCATATGTCTTATGAAATTTTGTTCTTTGAAAATGTTCAGTCAGTAATTTAGCAACCTCGTGTAAATGAGGATGATTCTAGCATTTGTCATAATTTATTTTTGCTTCTGCCACACTGTTGAAACCATTCAGTCCCTGGACATGTCAGGATATCATATAAAGTTGTACCCATGGGAATAGTGTATGCTCTTGTCTAATTAAAGTCAAGATAATGTCTCTGTGCAATCAGTTTTATGCTGAATTGACGTTTAGCATGAAAGTTAATACAAAGGCATGTGATATACTTGACAAAAGCTAATGAGATATAAGAGATTGTAGGCAATCTGTCTCAAGTGAAGGTACCCGTGAAGGTCCGGGTTAGAATGAATCTTCAGTAACCCATGTTTGTCGTAAGAGGCGACTAACAGGATCGGGTGGTCAGGCTCGCTGGCTTGGTTGACCACATGTCATCGGTTCACAATTGCGCAGATCGATGCTCATGCTGATGATCACTGGATTGTCTGGTCCAGACTCGATTATTTACAGACCGCCGCCATATAGCTGGAATAGTGTTGGGTGCGGCGTAAAACTAAACTCACTCAAGTGAAGGTTGTACCAGGGAGACTCATACCCTTACTACTCATTGTCATGTTAAGAAAGAAAAGTATGAAATGTTGACCCTGCAGTTTAGTCTCACTGAAGGCAACTTATTCTTCAAGTGATGTAAGGTTATCTATTTGTGATGTTATTTCAACACTCGATCTTCTGGGGGGTGGGGTTGGGGTAGCGAAGTGGTTAAAGCGTTCGTTCGTCACGCCGAAGACCCGGGGTTCGATTCCCCGCATGGGTACAATATGTGAAGCCCATTACTGGTGTCCCCTGCCGTGATATAGCTGGAATATTGCTAAAAGCAGCGTAAAACTAAACTCACTCACTTGATGTTCTGTTGTATAGTTGTCAACAATCAGCAACATACTGTCATATACTGTCATCTGGTGAAGTATGCTGGGGTAGCCCAGTGGTACTTGGTCATCATGGGAAGACCTGGGTTCAATTCCCCACATGGGTACAATGAGTGAAACCCATTTCCTGTGTCTCCTCCCATGATATTGCTGGAATATTTCTATAAGCAGCGTAAAACTAAAATCACTCATCTGGTGAAGCATTCTGAAGCTCAGAAATGCCCTTGTGCAAATATTGGAAAGTCATAACACTTCCTCTGTTACACTCACTACCTCTCTGCCATGGTAATGAATATATCTTCCTGTGTCAGTGCTTTGCCCTAAGCCCTGCACCTGTGTAATCCCAGTGTGAATTTCCTGTCCTAGCATGTGGGAAGGGGCAGTCACTCCACTCAGATCTACCAGCAGTACCAACGCTCACAAACACACACGCCAGTCAAGAAAGGGCCCATCACTCCAACAAGGTTTGAGAAGAAACCTCTGGTTGAAACTCGTCGTTCTCCGACTGTACATAAACATTTCACCAAGCGAGAAAAGGTTGCATCAATGGCTCAGGTATATAATAGGGAGTGTGTGAATGTTGTTTTGTGGCATAGAGTCCAATAGCAATCCTTGGATTGTCTGGTCCAGACTTGGGGATGTATCTATAAAGATTTGTAAAATCCTCCGTAGTTAACAGTTAGCTCCAAGAGTTATCTGTAAATGTTTTGAGACAAACTTTTAGCTCCGTCCTAAGGGTAACTCTAATTAAAATCCTTGGCAAGTAAGGACTATTAGAACTTTCTGATTATCTAATTATCTGCAAACTGACATCACACAACATGTATATTGCTATGTGTGGCTTAGTGCAGGAATGATTGCAGTGCAGGTAGCCAGTATGGTACCAGAATAGACAACCAGAGGATGTTAACTTTGTAAGGAGCAATGGTAAGAATTAGTCCTGAATGATGCTTGATTCAGGGATAAATTGGCCCAAACTGTTGATAGCCATCATGCATATTTCCCAGAAGGAATAATGTAAGTGTCAAAGCTAAAGTCTTCCTATTTTCAGAGGCGATATACCGCCCCACCCAACCAGGCTGGGTTGAAACTGAAGTCAGTGATGGGTTACAATGGGAATGGTCGAGGCAATATGGTGTGGCATGCAGAGACAGGTTGGTCTTGTTCTCAAGGTCCATAACATGGATATATACAGTGGCCATATACAGTTATACACTACATACAGCAATAGTAACAATAGTGTGCTGATAAATGATGGTTGGAGGGTGGAGACACTGATATGTCTAGCATCACTAATGTACTCCTGGTGGTGTGGTATTCCTAGCCATGTAGTGATCCATGGTTTAATTCTGTATTGATTTTCAAATGTCATTTTCATGGAAGTTTGCAGTTACACTTTCTGATTCCAAAAGACCCAGCCTTACATTATTCCCATAAAAAACAACAATTTATAAACCTGATTGCATAGTATTGCATAATAGTCAAAATTAACCAGTTACGTACGTTAAATACAAACCGGCCGATAGCAAAGACTTTTTATACCCCCGCTACGAAGTAACGGGGGTATATAGCATTCATTCTGTCCGTCCGTCTGTCCGTCCATCCCGAAACTTTGTCCGGAGCATATCTCTTAAAGTTTACATGCTAGGTTCACCAAACTTCACACACATGTTAATCATTACCCATTGATGTGCCTTTTGCTATTTTAAAGTTTTTTCAGAATTTAGGTTTTTTGCTGTTTCCATGGAAACACAACTTAGACTGTGACTATGAGGATGTCATCTTGTCCGGAGCAGATCTTCCAAACTATACATGCTAGCTTCATCAAACGTGGTACACATATCAAACATGATCCCTTGATGTGCCTTTTGGGGTTTAGATCCAGATATGAATTTTATTTGTTGCTGTTTCCATGGAAACATGACTTAGTGCCAAATATGTTTGATTATTTTGTCCAGAGCATATGTCTTAAAGTTTACATGCTAGGTTCATGCTAGGTACATGCAAAATGTATTTGATGGTTACCTGACTATGACATATCATCGAAACTATACATGCTAGGTTCACCAAACTTAATACACAAGTTAATAATGACCCACAGAAATGCCATGTGCTAAAAAAAGCAATCTTCATCTACGTCCACTTCATTGTGTGCAACATGAGACAGTCAAGATCAGTTGTATGTCAGGTTTCAACGGAAAACACAAAAAATCTAGTTTCCATAAATTATTACCGTAGTCAGTACATGCCAAAACTATTATCTAACATGTATATAAAGTTTAGTAGAGTCAAAGAGAAAGTCTTGTGAGCTGCTGATCCTTGTCACATTATATATATCAATATCAGTCATTTCCATGTCCCAAAGTGGGAAGCGGGGGTATGTGAGCTTTGCTCACTTCTACACTTGTTTAGGTCACATGTAGATTTCACTGATAACGGTGCATATTACGTATTGCAATAGATGTTGTATCTCACGTATCAAGCTGTGTATCAACATGCCAGGTGTGACATGTCCCTCCTCCTGGAGCCTCTGTATGTTGTACATCTCACTGTCTGTATTGCAGGCTTGTTGTATCTCACGTATCTAGCTATGCATCAACATGCCAGGTGTGACGTGTCCCTCCTCCTGGAGCCTCTGTATGTTGTACATCTCACTGTCTGTATTGCAGGCTTGTTCTTCTACACCAGTGGCTGTGTCGTCATCATGGAGGACCTCAACAATGGGGAACAGAAACATCTCATGGGTAACATGTCGCTACATGCTGTTATTATTTTCCCCCCCCCCCATCACCTCGTCCGTCTGTCCGTCCGTCCATAATTATTTTGTTTCCAGAGCATAACTCCAAAACCTTTCAATATGTTTCAACAAAAATTGGTAGAAATATCAAACAGAACCTAAAGTGGTGCCTTTTGCTATTTACAGAGTTTTGTCATTTTTATTTTTCTCGGTTTCCATGGATACGATTCGGACTTAGTCCCAAAAGTGAGGGGTGGGCTTCGTTTCCGGAGCATAACTCAAGAACCATTTAATATTTTTCAACAAAACTTGGTAGATATATCAAACAGATCCTAAAGTTGTGCCTTTTGCTATTTGCAGATTTTTGGCATTTTTATTTGTCCCGGTTTCTATGGAAACGATTCGGACTTAGTCCCATAAGTGAGGGGTGGGCTTCGTTTCCGGAGCACAACTCGAAAACTTCACAATATCTTTCAGCAAAACTTGGCAGATATGTGAGGCAGATCCCAAAGTGGTACCTTTTGCTATTTGCAGATATTTGTGATTTATTATTTTCTCAGTTTCCATGGAAACAATTCGAACTTAGTCTCAAAATTGAGGGGTGGGCTTCGTTTCCGGAGCACAACTCGAAAACTTCTTAATATCTTTCAGCACACTTGGCAGATATATGAGACAGATTTTGAAGTGGTGCCTCTTGCTATTTACAGATTTTTGGCATTTTTTTTTTCGGTGTGTTTTCATGGAAAGGATTCAGACTTAGTCCCGAAAGGGAGAGATGTGTTTCGTTTCTGGAGCACAACTGGAAAACTTCACAATATCTTTCAGCAAAACTTGGCAGATATGTGAGGCAGATCCCAAAGTGGTGCCTTTTGCTATTTGCAGATTTTTGTGATTTATTATTTTCTCAGTTTCCATGGAAACGATTCAGACTTAGTCTCAAAATGGAGGGGTGGGCTTCGTTTCCTGAGCACAACCCGAAAACTTATTAAAATATTTCAGCAAAACTTGGCAGATATATGAGACAGATCTTGAAGTGGTGCATTTTGCTATTTACAGATGTTTGGCATTTTTATTTATTTTGGTTTTCATGGAAACGATTCGGACTTAGTCCCAAAAGGGAGGGGTGAGCTTCATTTCCGGTGCACAACTCGAAAAGCGTTCAGTATCTTTCAACAGAACTTGGCAGATATATTAGGCAAATGTTGAAATGGTGCCTTTTGCTATTTACAGATTTTTGGCATTTATATTTCTCATGATTTCCATTGAACTGATTTGGACTTAGTTTAAAAAAAAAGTCAAGTCAGTAACTGATTTGTTCTTTCAAATAAGTGGGGCCCGGGGGGATATGTCATCTTCTGATGACTCTTGTTACACAGTTATAAGGTTTTGTGAATAGCCTGTAATTCAAATGTTATTAGTTTTGTTTGCTAGGAACCAAACTGACGCTTTAATGGACAATATCTGTGTTTCAGGACATGTTGAAGAAATCTCAACCATAGCTCTGCAAAATGATTGCCAGGTAAGAAGTTTGAACTCAAGTAATGCTGTTTTCGTAGTCTTCTTTGAAAATGGTAAAAAATGTATCAAGGTACTGTTATTGAATTTGACTGCCAAACAAATTGCTTGAAAATCAACATTGCCTTCAAATTTTATTGAAAGGGACATTCCTGCATTAAAAATTGTTTATGTAAGAGAATTGCTATCCTGATGCTTGAGTCAAAATAGCCATCCAATGGAACGAGGGAGACAGGTTAACTTTGTTAGGAGGGGCCATAAAAAAATTAAAAGATTCTTTACCAAGGGACAGGTTATTATTTGATCAATACTATCTCTAGACTTTACCCTCATTGGTAGATGAAAGTATTTGTGGTGTGTATTGATGTGACATGGGTCCAGTATGTCAAAGGTTATCAGCTTTGGGAAGTTGGTCATTTACATAAAGCTCATCAAACATGCCTTGTCCTCTGTTTTCGCTAATTAAAGAATACTTTTATACAATGATGATAGGACTTGTTAGTTTTCTGTGTGCAGATGGTGGTGTTCAGGTGTACTGACTATTCCATATGCCTATTTGCAAATGCTGGTGTCAGGATGTACTGATTAAATAATATTGCTATGTTGTAATGGTAGTGAGTGAGTGAGTTCACTTTTATGCTACTTTTAGCAATATTCCTGCAATGCTACAGATGCTGGTGTCAGGGGTACTGTACTGACTGGTGTCATTCCATGCCTCTATATACAGATGCTGGTGTCAGGGTGTACTGACTATTCCATGCCTCTATATACAGATGCTGGTGTCAGGGTGTACTGACTATTCCATGCCTCTATATACAGATGCTGGTGTCAGGGTGTACTGACTATTCCATGCCTCTATATGCAGATGCTGGTGTCAGGGTGTACTGACTATTCCATGCCTCTATATACAGATGCTGGTGTCAGGGTGTACTGACTATTCCATGCCTCTATATACAGATGCTGGTGTCAGGGTGTACTGACTATTCCATGCCTCTATATACAGATGCTGGTGTCAGGGTGTACTGACTATTCCATGCCTCTATATACAGATGCTGGTGTCAGGGTGTACTGACTATTCCATGCCTCTATATACAGATGCTGGTGTCAGGGTGTACTGACTATTCCATGCCTCTATATACAGATGCTGGTGTCAGGGTGTACTGACTATTCCATGCCTCTATATACAGATGCTGGTGTCAGGGTGTACTGACTATTCCATGCCTCTATATACAGATGCTGGTGTCAGGGTGTACTGACTATTCCATGCCTCTATATACAGATGCTGGTGTCAGGGTGTACTGACTATTCCATGCCTCTATATACAGATGCTGGTGTCAGGGTGTACTGACTATTCCATGCCTCTATATACAGATGCTGGTGTCAGGGTGTACTGACTATTCCACTATTCCATGCCTCTATATACAGATGCTGGTGTCAGGGTGTACTGACTATTCCATGCCTCTATATACAGATGCTGGTGTCAGGGTGTACTGACTATTCCATGCCTCTATATACAGATGCTGGTGTCAGGGTGTACTGACTATTCCATGCCTCTATATACAGATGCTGGTGTCAGGGTGTACTGACTATTCCATGCCTCTATATGCAGATGCTATATACAGATGCTGGTGTCAGGGTGTACTGACTATTCCATGCCTCTATATACAGATGCTGGTGTCAGGGTGTACTGACTATTCCATGCCTCTATATACAGATGCTGGTGTGTCAGGGTGTGTACTGACTATTCCATGCCCCTATATATGCAGATGCTGGTGTCTGACTATTCCATGCCTCTATATACAGATGCTGGTGTCAGGGTACTGACTATTCCATGCCTCTATATACAGATGCTGGTGTCAGGGTGTACTGACTATTCCATGCCTCTATATACAGATGCTGGTGTCAGGGTGTACTGACTATTCCATGCCCTATATACAGATGCTGGTGTCAGGGTGTACTGACTATTCTATACCTCTATATACAGATGCTGGTGTCAGGGTGTACTGACTATTCCATGCCTCTATATACAGATGCTGGTGTCAGGGTGTACTGACTCATTCCCTCTATTCTATATACAGATGCTGGTGTCAGGGTGTACTGACTATTCCATACCTCTATATACAGATGCTGGTGTCACAGATGCTGGTGTCAGGGTGTACTGACTATTCCATGCCTCTATATACAGATGCTGGTGTCAGGGTGTACTGACTATTCCATGCCTCTATATACAGATGCTGGTGTCAGGGTGTACTGACTATTCTATACCTCTATATACAGATGCTGGTGTCAGGGTGTACTGACTATTCCATGCCTCTATATACAGATGCTGGTGTCAGGGTGTACTGACTATTCCTGGTGTCATGTACTCTATATACAGATGCTGGTGTCAGGGGTGTATTCTATACCTATACAGATGCTATTCTATATTCCCCTATATACAGATGCTGGTGTCAGGGTGTAATGACTATTCCTGTACCTATATACAGATGCTGGTGTCAGGGTGTACTGACTATTCCATGCCTCTATATACAGATGCTGGTGTCAGGGTGTACTGACTATTCCATACCTCTATATACAGATGGTGGTGTCAGGGTGTACTGACTATTCTATACCTCTATATACAGATGCTGGTGTCAGGGTGTACTGACTATTCTATACCTCTATATACAGATGCTGGTGTCAGGGTGTACTGACTATTCTATACCTCTATATACAGATGCTGGTGTCAGGGTGTACTGACTATTCTATACCTCTATATACAGATGCTGGTGTCAGCTAGTGGGTCGTGTGGTCTCAGCAACAGTCAGCTGTGTTTCTGGGACGTCCAGCAGCAGGTCTGTAGGAAGGTCATCAACCACCATGAGCAGGACGTGGTCTGTCTGGCATACTCTCGGGATGACAGGTTCCTCATATCTGTGGGTGAGTCATCGTGCCAGAATCATTGATTAGTGTGTTATAACTGTATCAGTCCTTGTATTCACTAGAACAAACTTATTAATGTGCTGTCATGTGGAATTGTTTCTGGCAAAACAACTATTAATTGAACATTACCCCTTGTGAGAAATCAATGTATAATCTGTTTGCAGTGAAAACATACCGATGAATTTCATTTTAAACAAAAAATGTAAATCAAGTAAGTGAAATTAATATTGTGAATCCTCATAATTTTACCTTCCCAATTGAACATTCAAATCTCAGAATTTTATTCAACTTAGATAAAAGTTGTTTAACAAACGATCATAGTTTCAAATCCCTATTTTTGCTTTGTATTACAAGAGGGTACACGCAGTAGTTGGAACTGTGAAACAAATGCATGTGCAGTACGTGATGAGCATTAACTTAGACTACCGTAGAAACCAACCCTATTGTTTTCAGGGTTTCATTTAATATGCATACCCCCTTGTAATACAAATCAATAATAGCGATTTGAAACTATGATCATTTGTTAATAAAAAATTCTGAGATTTTAATGTTCAATTCTCAAGGTAAAGTTATGAGGATTCGCAATCTTAATTTCACTTTATTTGATTTACTTTTTTTGTTGAAAGTAAAATTCATCGGTACGGTTTCACTGCAAACAGACTATAGGTATGATCCAAGAGCTGAAAATAATGCTATGGCATTCCTGAGTAAGTACTAAGCACTAGAACATGGAAGCTTGTAGTACATAGAAACTGTTGTTGTGGCAGGTGACTACCGGGAGTGTTCCGTGGTGGTGTGGTGCACACACACCCTGTCACTGCTGGCGTCCACGAGGACAGCATACCCTGTGTTTGACGTCAAGTGGGACCCCTACACTGTCAATGAGTTTGCCTCTGTGGGAGAGAAGGGGACTATCTTGTTCTGGCTGCTGGATGAGACAACTAGCGATGTCAGCCTCAACGTTCACGAGGCGGAGGTTCCGGAGGAGCTCCTGCAGGCACATCATATGGTATGTTTGTTTGTTTGCTTATTTGTGTGTTTGTTTGTTGTTTAACGCTGCACTCACCCATGTTCCAGTTACATAATGGTCACCTGAAGATACTCATCTTGACCAGATAATCCAATGGTCGATATTTAAAGGAACGTTACATTGATCAACCAGGTCACTGAGTCTAAACACTTGTGAAGATCCGTGTTAGAATTGGTCTCCAGCAACCCATGTTTGTCAGAAGAGGCGACTTATGGGATCAGGTGGTCAGGGTCACTGACTTGGTTGACACATGTCATCGTTACCTAATTGTGTAGATTGATCTTATCATGGTACTTTTAAAACTGTTATCATGGTACTTTTATGCCTAGCACCCCCTAACAGGTGTTTATGAAATGCAGGGTATAGTCCAGTTATGTCAGCACCCCTTCAGAATATGAATGTGGTGTCCATAGTGTCTGTCCCTATTGCTGCTACTGTGTGATATAACTTGCAGGGTGTGGGGCAACTTATGTCCTAGCACCTTCCAGAATATGAATGTAGAAAATATGTAATTTCAGTTATGTCCTAGCACCCCCTTCAGAATATGAATGTGTTGTCCATAGTGTCTGTCCCTGTTGCTACTGTGTTATAACTATGATATAACTTGCAGGGTGTGGGGCAGGTACATTTCACATCGCTGGTGTTTGCGGGTGACAGCACTCTGTATGTAGGCAGCAACAATGGGAAGGTGTCTGCCTGGGACACCCGCCACAACACCTGCTTCATGCACTGGGAGGCAGACTCCTCAGAAATAGGTAACACAATGAAAAACTCAGAGGCCAGAATAGAAGTGATCTCATTTGCCACTGAGACCAAGTTAATTTGTATGTTCAAATGATATTATTGGTGTTCATTAACAGGTACTGGGATAGAGAACTTTGACAATGTGCCATTTTCAGGATTATTAGCCATTTTCTGCATTTAGAATGGGCCAATGCCCTTGTATCAACAGTAAACTTCAAAATTTTAATGGGCCATATTTTTATAATGTGCAAAATGGCCCATGGCCCCTGCCTTTCCCAATCCCTCCATTAAAGGGCAAGTTTACACGACAATTAACCTTTTTGTCTTGCACTTTTTCATCATAAAAAGTGTTTGTCAAATAGTTTTATAGCCCAAACAGTACAGATATCAGAAGCAACTAATTTATTTTTTTCGTTATATCCATTCATATTTTCAACATTAACTGAGAATTCTATCTCCATAATAAACACACCATGGCCTATGTCCCTTAGAAATGACATCATTGGTGCCCGACTGATAAACGAATGACGTTGTTAGACCTTATTAGACTCATTTCATGTGGTGCAGGTATATGTGTGGTTCTTGTGTCTCGATGTGCAGACTACTGTTTTAATCCACCTGTTGCCTGGCTGTCAGTTGGCTTGGTGATCAGTTCCACACTGTGATGACGTTGAAGTTTGAAAAGAACATACATTGTACAAAACTTGTTACCTCGTAACTAAATTGTACAACATTCAACTGGAGTCGGTCTCCTTTCCAGCAGTATCTTCACGAAACTAATGTATATGCACTACATCTATGGGTGAATGTGCCGGCATTCTAAGTTTTGTACTTAATTCCCAAATAAATCGTATATGTCCCACTCCTCTTCAACCTTCATTTTGATGTCGAAACCATATCCAAATACATCACGAAGATAAATGCAATATGCAGTTTTGAATTCTTTTTCCTTTTATATTATCCATTCATTGTAGGGCAGATTTACTGAAAATTACATGCATCGTATATCTCGCCAGTTTTGACACATCACTAAATCACCATTCATTACGTTTTGCGTAATTTATATTTTATGGTTCACCAGCCTGTTTTGTACATTTGAGTGGAGGAAATGTTTACTCTCATTACAGGTCTGTTGATCAGTCGAGGTGGTCGACTGTTGACAGCAAGTGTGGGTCGCAATGTCCGTTTGTGGTCAGTTGTTGGGGTGGGTGAGATGAGGCTTCCAGGCGAGAATAGCGGGATGAGGTCGGGGACTCACCATGGAGGACGAGATGACACTGGACGGACCCATCACATGCACAGCGTTTGATGATAATCTGGACATGGTGAGGCAACAGTATGTGAAAGAAATCGTGCAAATTACTAACATATCTGACTTCTAAAAATATCTATAACATTGTATGGCTTCTACTGTGGATTTGTAAGTACTGAGCTTCTGAAAAAGCATTGTTCAAAAACTATTTTGACACCTTACAAGGCATGTTTGGCTCAGCTGCTGCTATGCCAAGAACATGGATTTGAATCCAACATCCAGATTGGTCTAGCAACAGCACACCCATGCCTGTAGTTTCATCAAAGTGGTAGATATATAATGACTTTCTGTATCCCAGTAAATATTTCAGTGAGAGTGTTTACAAGCTGTGTGTGTTTTCAGGGTATTGTAGGGACAGGTGCAGGCACTCTGTGGTACATCAACTGGTCAGAGAGGACCAGCATCAGGCTTGTGTCTGGACACATGAACAAGGTGGGTAACTATTAGTGATGTGGATAGCTGCTTCATGATGAGATAACCGCTAAGTGATGTGGATAGTTGCTTAGTGATGATGATTTTAAGGGGGTCACCCATTTTGTTTTGGGGAGCTGGGGGCAGCAATTTTGTACACATGCACTAGGGGTCAGCAATTTTGTACATAAAAAATATGTTTAAAATTATGCTTAGAAATTATGGGAATGGGGGGGGCATTGATCCTGTACATGACATGCAAGGGGGGTCACTTATTTTGTACATAAATTTTAGGGGGGGTCATGCACATTGTACATGCTTCTCCATAAAAATCATCACCACCACCCTTAGCCATAAATTATGAACGGTCCCTAAAAAATATAGGAAGACAGTTTGGTGTCCTACAAATATATTGTGGGATCCAGTCTAATCTACCCCATGTTTGTTGTTACATAACTGTGCCTGTGTTCCAGGTGAACTGTCTGGCTGTGACGGAGGGCAACCTACTAGCATCGTGTGCTGATGATGGTAGTGTTCGGGTGTGGTCTGTCAAAGACCGGGAACAGGTTCTGCAGTTCCAGGTTATGGAGCAGGTGAGTACCTGAGGCAGTGTGGTTGGACTTAAGCCAGTGGAGAGCAAGCCATAGTTAATCAATGACACCCTTCAGTCAGTCTTCCTTGCCCTAGATGGGTGGCCAAGTGGTTAGAGCAGTTTGCTCTGCATGTCAGAGGGATTGTGGATAGCAGAATGCATGCTTGCATGTTGGATACTTTAAAATACAGAAAACCACTTTGTCATTGTAACTGATATAGAGAGATAAAAATACCTGATTTATCATCTTCTCAATGGCAAGACAAAAATTAGAAAGTGGGTATGAGTTAAAATTCATCAGGGGCAATTGGGTAGCCAAGTAGTAATCATCTTTGATGATCAAAATTGATCTTTATAAAAAATGGATCACTGTGTTAGTATTATCCGTCATATGGCTGGAATATTGCTAGAAGCAGCTTAACATCATTCCAATGCTCGCTGACTCACTTTTATTCTCCAGGGGCAGTAAACAAATTTAACCAGAAGCTCATGTGGCATAGGAAGATTTAGTATTACTTTCAGATCTGAGCACATTAACTCAGTGTCCTAACTGACAATTTCCTTTTCATATTCAGTCCTGCACATGCCTGGCATTTGCTCCCAACAAACCAGAACTGACCATGTCCATCTTGACCCCATCTGACCCCAACGTCATGTCCCACTCAAAAGTAGGTGATAAGGCCATCCCCTACATTGTGGCCGGCTACAGTGACGGCACGGTGAGGATGTACGACGTCAACAAGGTGGAGATGGTGCTGAAGATGCACCCACATGCAGTGACTGTGACAGCCATCTCCTTCTCTTCAGATGGTAGGTGGGGATAGGAAATCTCAATGTACTAAGATGTTAATTGTTACTCAATGTTATCAGGGTAGCTAAACATAATTGTTGATCAATCAGTTGAAGATCAGAGCTACAGATAACTTTTTGGGTCATTGAGTTAGGTACTCACTTGTGTTCATCTCAATTGGGTATCCTAATTTTCCTTTGAGTAACCAAATAAATTGTACCCACCTCACTCAATATAAGAGAATATGAGAAACGATAAGAAAGACTGCAAGTTGCCAAGTTTATGTACCTTAGTTATGTTATCTATTCACCAGTACGCAAGCTAAGATTATATATTTTTGTGTGTACGCATGTAAGATCACATTTATTGAGTATTTACAAAAAATCAAGCATAGTAACACACAATAAACTTAATTGGAATTGAGTTTTCACAAATATTTGCGTAATTTACGCAGATACCTCTGAAGATTTAACATCTTTCCTGTTATGCATCCATCGTGTAGCCATGACATGATTTGCTTGTCTAGATCCTTTGTTTTTGAGTGTATTAAATCACCGCTTTTAAAATGATTCATACCATTGACCCATATACATGTACCACCATACCCTTGTTTTTAATCTCATTTCAATGTCTTGATGGTTCTTGATTTGAGTTTCATGCTGTCTCAAATACAACTGCAAAGTTTCCTGTTTATTATTACTCAGGGAAACATCTTTTCCGGCTGCAATTTCAATTTCTCTTAATTTGATTGAATATATTGAGGACTAAATCAGACTAGTTATAGTCAGAAGTCAGAAGCGGTATTTCAGTTGCTCACTGCAAGCTCATAAGCAAAGCTTCCAAAAACAGAGGTGTATTGTAGTGGACAATCAAGGATGGTCTGTCACCTGGGCAACGTGTTCACTCATCATTCTGCTGATCTGGGTTTGACTCCCACATACAGAGTGTGAAGCCAGTTCTTGATGACTCCCACATACAGAGTGTGAAGCCAGTTCTTGCTGACTCCCACATACAGTGTGAAGCCAGTTCTTGCTGACTCCCACATACAGAGTGTGAAGCCAGTTCTTGCTGACTCCCACATACAGAGTGTGAAGCCAGTTCTTGCCGACTCCCACATACAGAGTGTGAAGCCAGTTCTTGATGACTCCCACTGTGATATTGCATGAATGTTGCAGAGTGGTGTAAAACCATACTCACTCAAGAGATCAGCACTATAGCTGAAATTGTCAAGGTTAGCAGAGATATCACTATGTTTGGAGGTTGAATTATCCTCATTTTTTCGAAAGACATGAAAGGTATCTCCCTAAAACAGCAGTATATGTCTGCTGTTGGCAATATCATCTAGTTGTTTCTCAAGACAAAGTGACAATGGACTATTGTATGTTGTCATGTAAAAAACAGTACAAATTAAGCAAGTTGGCTGGTACAACACTTGTCTTGGACACTGCAGGTCGTATGATCATCTCTGGTGGAAGTGACGGCCTGATAGCTGTAAGCAGCCCTACAACAGGGATGACCGTGAGGGTGATCACTGACCACAATGGCACACCCATCACCAACATTGATGTCACCTTCAAGCAGGTAGGCCAGTCTAAGTCATAGCTAGTTTAGTTTAGCTTAGTTGGTGTCATCAATACAAACATCAGGGTTTATTCTTTTTCAGAAGAAGTCCTCCTTGGGGTACTTATAAGCATTAAAATGTCCATTTTAAAAACCTACGACAGTTGTAACTATATTTCAATAAAAATATTTACAAAACGAAAAAACACGTTCTGCGTTATGAGACCACCCCTACAGGGCCCCTGTGGGGCCCCCTACCGACAAGAGCAGGTAACTCTAGCCGACAACCTCGCACCTCACTTTTCATGCTGTCGTCTTACAAGAGAGACGTGCGTGTCGTTCATTGATGAAAATGAGTGCTAAAGAATCAACTAATGTATGTATGGTTCCTCTTTTCTCTCGCACGGGCGCTAGATGGAATTGTAGGTTGATTTTTTCATTCATGATTGTTGTAACTTAGTCGGACAGGCTCCATTTTCCAGCCAGGTGGCAGGCAAGATGGCGGTCGGTTTGGCTTCCTTCTGTCCTACAGTTGTAACTTTTTTGAGTTACATCGCTAGGGTGGTAGGGTATTTTCTTGTACATTACTATTGTAGGCTTGCCTAACGTTTTCACTTTCAGCAATGTAAGGTGAGTTGGGTAAGTTTTTTCATATTTTTTTTACACTATATGTTGCTTGCATTTTCGCCTCTTGTTCATGATACATGTTAAAGGGTTAAAACTGCCTTAGCTTTTCACATAGGGTTTATCGCCCGTGCGTATTATGTTTTACTTGTGTTGCATATATGTGTGTATTTTAGACTGTACATCAGTTTCCATTAAAATGGTTCTGTTTGTTACAGTTTCACCCGTGCGTTGCATGTGCGTCCATGTTGCCACCACAGGATACTCACGATGTGTGCCTCCGTTGTTTGGCTGTTGATCACCATGATGATCTAACTTGTGAGAGTTGCCTGCTTTTCTCACCCAAGACGACTAAGTGTCGGTCCACTGCTGCAGGCGGGGGGGGGGGACTTATGGGCTCAGGACCCACCATCTAAAGCGGCTAAAAGTAAGAAGAGTTCTTCTTCTACTAGCAGGGGTGGGGGTAAGTGGGCCAAGGCGGCGGATAAACCTTCTTCCCCTATCCCCTCCACTTCCATTCAATCAGATTCTGCACCCCTCCGTATTACTGATTTAACTTCTATTTTGCAGCAACAGATGACTTCGGTTCGCTCGCTGATGTCGGACGCGATGTCCGGTTTCCGTGAGGAGATCGGCTTCCGTTCGGGAGTTAGCGGCGCTCCGGGGTCGTCTGTCGGGGGTTCCAGCTGACAAGCGGGGGTTTCCCGAGCGCCGGTGCTACCAGTCGACTCGGGGCCTTACGTTGCTTCGGGGAATCCTGTTTCGGCAGGCTCTTCCCTGGGTCCTCGGCGACCTGGCTCATCCTCGAGCCTAGGGTCGATCGGGCCAGGCGCCTCGGCTCTTATGGCTCCCCTATCTTTGTCCGTGGAGCCGACTTCCGTGCTTTCGGAGGTGACTCTGGATACCGAGAGTTCGCTTCCGGGGGAGCGGGAGGAAGAAGCCATGGATGAGGATGGGGGGCATGAGGCGTCGGGGGAAGGTTCCTTCGCGCTTGGTCCGTCCCTGCGGCAAGTAAGGGAACGCATTGCTTCCATTTTGCCGCAGGTGGTCGTGCCGTCAGATGACCCCGACCCCGCGGAGTTTCGTCTCCCTGGGGAGGCGTTTGCTCCGTGTCGGGTCACCAAGGCCCACTTGCGTATTTTACCTTCACTGATTAGTGAGGTTATTAACCCTCTCCTCTCAGGTGGCAGGTCACGCTTCGATCTCCCGGAGCTGAACCAGCACTACCTGATGGGAGAGGGGGCTCTTTATGACCCCGGTGGTAGATGAGTGCATTTATGCCTCAGTTAAGCCCTGGGGTCATCTGGCTATAGCTGCCGTCGGCTTCGTCAGGGTCGGCGCGCCTCCGTTACTTCCAACAACCAGGTGTTGAAATCGGTATATCGCCTTTGAAGAACAATACCGTGACGCAGTACAACAACTTAAGGTTTCCGTCCACTCAGCATACCTCTCGGCCCTGCAGAGGAAGCTGGTGGACCAGGAGGGCGTGGACGACGACGTGTCCACGTTAGCGAGGCAGCTCACGGAGGTGCATTCACATCTGGCACGTGACGCCATTCGGTCGTGCGCTAGCCAGATGATGTCTGCTGTTATGGGCCTCCGTCGGTTGTGGCTGTCTGTGGCCAGATATTCACCGGCTACACAGCAGGCGCTGCTGTCTCTGCCATTCAGGATGGGCTCAACCCTGTTCCCGGGGGCATTGACAGTGGTCAGGGAGGCCGCGGAGGCGGTTAGCCAGTTTAAGGACTCAAAGCCCTCAAAGTGGCTTGGCCACTGTCAGGAGTCGCCTCCATGCGAGCAGAATTCCTGCACCAGTTGCAGACACAATTCTGGCTTCGCGGAGGGATTCGACTAACTTACAGTATGAGGATAGATGGGCCTGTTATGCGCGCTGGTGTGGAAACAGAGGGATACTTGATCCCTTTTCTTCGACTGTAGTCGAAGTTTTGGAGTTTTTACAGTCTCGGTTAGAAGCCGGCCTAGCCGCGTCTACTATCCGAGGCTACTCCACAGCTATTTCAGCTTTCCACATTCCTACCGAGGGTGCCCTTTTAGGACAACACCCTCTGGTTCAGCGTTTCTTAGCAGGTGTGGACAGAGTGTGTCCGGTCGTCCGACGGACAAGTCTGCCATGAGATCTGTCCATCGTTTTAGATTGGCTATCTAGTCCTTTTTTCTACGATATGTTGGGGTTGTCGCTTCAACTGTTAAGTTGGAAAGCGGCATTTTTGGTGGCCATTACATCAGGTAGACAGGTTGGGGACATTCATGCTATGTCCTCAGGCCCGGAGCTTACCGTTTTTCACAAGGATAGGGTAAGTATTCGTTTACCTGATTCCTACCGCCCAAAAATCGATAAAGCGTTTCATGTCACCGCTCCTATTGATTTACCTGCCTTTACGCTTCCTGCTTTGTCTGGTAGCGCGAAGCGCAGAGTACATGTGTTGGATGTCCGTAAAACACTCAAGACGTATGTCAAGAGAACAATGTCAATCTGTAAAGAGAAGCAGTTATTCTGCTGTTACGGGGGCGGTAAAGTAGGTCACCCAGTTACCACACAGACCATATCGAGGTGGATTGTGTTGGCGATTTGTATGGGTTACATACACAAGGGTATGACTCCCCCAGAGGGTTTAAAGGCTCATTCGGTTCGAGCAGTTGCCACGTCTAAAGCGTATGCTGCTGCTCTGCCCATTGAGGAGATATGTTCTGCGGCTATTTGGATCCGACCGAGTACGTTCATTCAAGATTATCAGCTGGACAAACATTCGCGTGGCGTCTCGGTTTGGCCAGACGATTCTCCATAGTGGACAGAGTAACACCTCAGGCCGAAAGTGAGCCTTGTCGCTGATTTACTCAGTGTTTTATACTGGTGTCGGGTCTATTCTCCCTATTTTGCACTGGTGAAGGTATGTGGTGGCGGTTTTATTTCCGCTTCTTTTGGTATCGGTGCCTTTGGCTTATATTTTCCAGCCATGGCTGGCGGTGTGCTATGGACAGTAGTTTGTTTTGGCGAGTCCCTAGTTTTACTCACTTCCACCAATCAGGCTGGGAGGTGGAGTTTTATCTTGGGTGTGTGTACCGATTGACCAATGGGCACTAAGCTTTGACCTCCCAGGGTCCTTCGCTTTAGTCACGCCTCCCCGCTTTGATTGACATTGGCGGACGCGGACTGCAAGTGTGATTTCTATTTTCATACGGCTGTAGTAAGTTACTGCGCTCGACCAGTGTGTCAGACAGAATGCCACTCGGTTTTGATCTTTGGGAGTCTGTTTTATGCTTATAAGTACCCCAAGGAGGACTTCTTCTGAAACCTGCTCTTGTCGGTAGGGGACTACCGGGGCCCTGTGAAATGGTCTCATTCGATGTTATAAAACACATGCTGTTGCCTTCAAAGAATCATAACCTCTACAGGACCAGGATGTTCTATGGTGTTATAAAACACATGCTGTTGCCTTCTCTACAGGACCAGGATGTTGGTATCACGGCACCACTGCTGTGGTTGGCTACTAGTGCCGACAGACGTGTCAGTGTTTGGTCAGCTGATTGGTCGAAAGACTTCTGTGAACTGGTTGACTGGATGACGTTCCCTGCTCCTGCATTTGCTCCTGATGGCTCCATCATAGACAAGGACGATAAGGTTGGTAGGGCTGACAGTGGGGGGAAGGTTTTGTTGCAGATTAGGCCAGACCAATATTACTATGTACTGAAACAAAATGAAGGCAGAAGACAAAATACAAATTGAAAAACTTGTCTCAAATATACAGAGTTGGAGTGGAATATACTGCATTGTTTACAACTACTGGTATTTTGACACTACTGTATCAGGTTCACCACTGGCTGATCAGCTGTTTATTAGACCCACTGGTGGCCAGATGTAACTGAAACATATGTTCTTGCTCTCGATCTTGATACCTTTGCTGTACTCTTGTGTTATATGTGCTGGTGTGTCATGATTTGCCTTGTCACAAATTCTTCTCTAATGTGATTGTTTCACGACTTTCAGCAACCTGGTTAGAATATAGTCAGGTGATTGGGTAGTGTGGTGGTGTAGAGTATTAGTTCATGACTGCAAAGACAGAGATACAATTAGTGAAGCCCACTGTATTGGTAAAAGCAGTGTACGGCCATTCTTTACATATGTTGAATGTGCTGTCTCCTGTTACTCTGGAACAGCCACCCTATCAGTATCAGAGAAATCAATTGTAAAGACTCTTTCAAAATAGCCCTAAAACCCACCTGTTTACAATATCCCTCTTATAGGCTTTTCTTACTCTCTTCTTCAGCCTGTTGAGCAAATACTTTTTGGGAGCAGGCACTATATAAATTCATTATCATTATCATTAAACAGCAGGCCCAGTACAGCCTTCTGCCTCCCAGCATCGCCAGGTTCTCTCCATGAGACTGACCTCACCCACCCACACCCCACTAACCACTCCCTCTACATGCTCTGCAGTTGATATATAGAAAGTTCTTCCTCCTCAGGCCCAGTACAGCCTCCATGGGTACAATTTGTGAAGCCCATTTCTGGTGTCTCCCGCCATGATATTGCTGGAATATTGCTAAAAACGCCCTAACACCATACTAAGTCAGTCCCTCTACATGCTCTGCAGTTGATATATAGAAAGTCCTTCCTCCTCCAGGCCCAATACAGCCTCCTGCCCCCAGCATCGCCAGGTTCTCTCCAGAGGAGACTGACCTCATTGTGTACACTGGCTATGGGATGCAGAAACATCTCCAGTTCTACAGCCTGTCTCAGAGAAAGGTAAGGATGAAGGAAATGAACTCAACTTGTCATGGCATTCGAGGTCTATATACTGTAGAACATTGTTACAACAACCAGGTAATGAGAAACTGTTTTAAGAGTACCAAGCCTTACTATATATGCTATATATATAAAAATGTTTATACATACAACAGGAATATTGCTACCAGTGGTTAAACTATATTCCTTCACTGGGGATGCTGGTCTTCATTTAAGATGACATGTTTCCTTCGCTGGTGCAGGTTGTGAGGACCACGGCTCTCACTCACTGGGCCAACTGTCTGGATCTGGCGGCAGACTCCTCCCTCATTGCCATAGGAACTAATGGTAAAGTATACTAGGAATTGGATTGAAGGTCAACCCATACAGTTTTGTAGTTTTGGTTTTAATACTGGTAATTGTAAGATAATTTATTAAGAAATCATAATATATTTAATGCATTTTTAATAAATCTTTCTCAGATTTGTTATTACAATGCATGTGGTGTGTCCGATGCCCCAAAGCAGTTGTCTCCTGATGTAGACACTATGTTGTAAAATTCTTTGGCAAGATATATAATGTTTCCTGTTTCCGAGGAATCGTAATATGGCACCACTAAACCCCTTTATTTTGTTTTCTTAAATTGCATAATTTCTTGTTAACTGTCCTGGTATTATCTGAATCTTATGCCGCTAGTTTGAATGTATTTCACAGCACTTCAGATACACCAGCCATTATATTTATTTGAATGCAGACTTTTTTCTTCAAAGAACAACAAATTGTTAAAAACACCTAAAACATGAGCCTACCCATTCACCCTATTTTGGGACAGTCTGAAATGCAATACACATATGTTTATGGCCTTTCAGTCTGTAAAAAAGAATCTAAGGGAAATACTTTTTTGAAAGAATGAATAATATAAGTACACATAAGGCAGCATGTACCTTGAGTAGGAGATAAGAAGAGTGAGTTATATGCATAGGTAATCTATCTAACGATGATGTGGTATCAGCAATATGGTTTACTGTATGTATAGAGTCTGTTCTAATTAAGAAGGACTGTAAGTTCCTTATCTTCATGGCATACTGTAATGGTTCTGTTAACATCTTCTTTGTTAGAGCGCCTCTTGAAGCTGATGGACTACTACGAAGGCAGTTTCCAGGACTTCATCGGCCACAATGACTCCGTCAACATTGCTAAGTTCTCCCATGATGGCAAGCAGCTGTTGACGTCGGCTTACTCTGAGATCTTCGTGTGGGAGGTCACTGTGTAATAAGAATGTTGTTTCCACCCAGAAGAGCAATGGTTCTATCCATAAGAGCAATGGTTCTATTCACAAGAGCAATGGTTCTATCCATAAGAGCAATGGTTCTATTCACAAGAGCAATGGTTCTATCCATAAGAACATTGGTTCTATTTGCAAGAACACTGATTCTATGCACAGGAGAAATGGTTCTATCCTTAAGAACATTGGTTCTATACACAAGATCAATGGTTCTGTATACAAGAGCGATGGTTCTATCCAAAATAGAATCTGCCTATACACAGGATTCTATTCATACAAGCCACAATTACAGATCTGAGCTTTTCCAGAACCATCATGAGAAATAACTCGTCACAACAAGAGTGTGCAGCGTGTTCTTCATCAGAAGAGCAGATGAGCAGAACTCTTAAAGATGAACAAGTGATAGACAGTGCCACCTTGACAGCACAGAGAGTGTGACTCACACATGTACCATTCCGTCCAACGCACATGCATGTTCTTGTCATTCCACAGTGCTCAAAAATACTGAGTGACCAGACCTGTCACTATCAGTTATCCTTGTGTGCCTTTTCCATATAGTTTTCCCACCATATTCATGGATGATGTGTTATATAGTGACATGACGTATTGATTAAATATAGTCTACTTGCCAAAGTAGTCATACGCTTTGTATTTGATAATGAAGTGTATACAAACTCATGGAGTATTAAAGATGGGTATCAAGTAGTGGTTATAGAAAATAGATTTATATAAAGTAGCTAGAATCCCTGGTCCATTCCATGTACAGTTGTACAGAGTTTATGCAGGTAACTCAGTAACTTATTATTGTAACATGCTGCATTTTATTTTTCAGCTGTAGCCAATTGTATATCAGACAACTACTTCATTTTATACTCAGTTTGTCATTAGCATGTTAAATTTGTTTTAGCTTCATTATTGTTTTAGAATAATAAAACAATACCTGACTTATCCTTTAACTTCATTTTTATGAAACTGTTAGAACTCATATTCCATGCTTGTCATTTCGGCAAGTAAATTTGAGATTTGATCTTCACAATGGATGCAAAGGATAGTTTACTCAGATGAGAAACCATATAGAATAGAATACTACTTTAATGCGTTTTCAGGAATTTGTGTTAAATCAGCAGAGCTACTGACACATTAGAGAGATACCAAACATATTTACATAAATTCTTTGATTTAGGTATCTTCACATTTGTTTAAGAGAGATATGGTACTTGGAATAAAGGATGTACAGGCTCTCTTAGTTTTCACAATTGGAACTTTGTAGCGCCGGCCTGAAGGGAGGAGGTTGTATTCCGAATTTAAGTAGTGAGTACGGTCAGATATGATTTTGACAGCTTGATTCACGATTTGCCGCTCATGTATTGATGATAAACATTCAAATCTGACTCAAGTGATTTTACTTGCAGTGTTAACAATTTTGTCAATTTTAGATTTGAGATGAACTGAGAGAGACCCGTACCAACAATGGAAGGAAAATGTTAAAATACTCTGAATAAATGCTACATAAAAAGATGACATCGCAGATGGGTTAACATTAAAAGATCTCAGTTTACGCATGAGCTGAAGACGTTGTTGACACTTTTTGTATAGGGCTTCAGTGTTAGAGTTCCAGTTCAGCTTAGAGTCAATGAAGGTTCCCAGATACTTCTACTCCGACACTGTCTCAACACATTCACCTTTGATTATCACTGGAAGCATTTCTGTGGGTTTACTCCGAAAGTCAGTTATCAGTTCCTTTGTTTTTGTGACATTTAAGAGTAAGATGAGGAGATGATTGTCACCCTATCAACCGCTGGTTTCTTTCCCTGCCAAACTGCTTCTGGAACTGCTTGATGCAATAAAGCTAACATTGTGGAGCAGCAAGATTATACTTGTGGAAGCACCTTTGGCATTCAGTACCACATCTTTTCAGGAGGATGATTTTTGTCCTTGGTCAAGAGCCAGTGAGACAATAGACAAATCTTGAACACACAACCTTTGACTTGTCAGGATGACTAGCTAGGTATCTGGTCATCTCAAACTTCGTACATGACATAAAATAACAAAAGTATTTATTCCTAAAATTATATAAAAGTTATTTTACAAATTGCAACAATATGTAGAGTTTTGCTTTAGTAACAGTCAACAAATTTGTCATCTTCGATGTCCTTGTCTTCAGACAAAATGTCCTCCAGAAGAGCAAGAGGGTTCTTACTGTACTCATCAGAACTGCCTGAAATTATGGACAACTGAAGTTCAATGTCCACATCTCTTAGGAGGTGAAGAACTGTTGTCAGGCTAGCAGTGCCTAATTCTGATTCTGAATTTGTACTGTGTTTGCCATTGGTTGTATCACCATTTTCAACTTTTAATTTCTTCAGCTGATTTTCATTAACATCATCACCAATCTTTGCTTTAAGATTCTTCAGTATTCTGTAAGATTTTTCACGAACATGGTTGTCATAGTCCTGTGTGCCTGATACGATGGCTTCACAAAAACCTGTCCGGCTCAGTACAATCAGATCATCGCTCAATGTGCTGCCATTATCAAACTTTCTCTTTGTGCCACTTGGTGAAAGATCTACAGCATAATCAGGAACATTTGAAGAAGGGCACTTTATCTTCTGATCAGAGACACTTTGCCAGAAATCTAGAGTATTTGCCTTCACTTCCCAGTCAAAGTCTGCCATTGCTTGGACCATCGCTGAGAATATTTCCCTGACAACTGGTTCCAGTATTCTTCTGTTAGAGTAAATGGTTTGTAAGCTTGAAACAGCAGCTCTGCGAGGGAAGGCTTCACTGTCCGTTTTTATTATGTCCAATAACTTGTGAACAATGTCTGCCTACAACAAAATGGTTCTCAATGAGATGAGACGAGACAGAAGAAAAGGTTAATATGACAATAATGAATACCGATAAATCCCAACATGTGTAATCTTGAGTTCGAACACTATCAGTATCTGAAGTTATTGCTGTTGGGAAAGCAGTTGAATGAGGATGGTTCCACCCTGCACTGGAACTGACAATGTTGCAGCTTATCAGGGTGAGATAATCTATGAAGTGTTTCATTGTACAATATAGACAAATTTTATGAATAACAACTTCTTTTATTTTGTGAGTGTTTTGTCAAGCAAGAATCTGTATCGAAACATCGCACTCACAGAATAAAAGAAGTTATTATCCATAAAGTTTATCTATATTGTACTTCTAAAATGCAACTGAAGGACGGTTCTAGTACTCCAAGTACAATCTAATTGACCTTATTGTCTAATCACTGGAATGGTTTACTTGTACAATTTACATATTGCTTTTCAACAGAGGTACATCTGTAATAATAGAACACAAGGAAGCATATTTGATTTGTTTCCAAAACATAACGTCATACGGTTTGTACACCATACAATCAGATAACCTGCACCCTCCCCATTTCATCAAATTATAGCAAGTAACAAATTGTAGTCCTCATTTTTACACAGAGTTACAGCAGGAATCATTTATCACCTCTGTTTGTTTGAGCTGAGACAGGAAGGCATCCCAAAGCTGTGGTGCCATGGCAACTGCAGCAACTAGTCTGATTGCGCTGAGCTCGGACGTAGCTGTTGCTGTCTGACACACATTGCCAGGCTGACCCAAAGATGTGGCTGGACATCAGTAGATCACCAGCAACAGGAACATCTGTAGTATTGTTAAAGAAAGCACAGAAATTAACTGCCATATAAGAAGCAGCTGAAACGCCACAATAATAAAGAAAAATGTTTACAAATTAAAAAGTCACAGTCATAGACAACAATCAAGGTGATAACTGCTTTTCAGGGCATATGACATACTGAGGCTATATGTTGCTTTCAGATTAGATCAGCAAAGGACCATATTCAGTTTAATCTGACCATCAAACATCACTTCCGTATCGGGTTTATTAGTGTGGTGATAATGGATCAGGTTAGATTCCTGGAACCCCATGCTAATATGTAGGGCTCCAGGGCTCCAGATAAGGGCCGTATCGGCGTATGTACTGATAAAAATTATGCATGATACGGTAGGAAATATTTTGAAAAACGTAGCAGATACGCACCACAGCAATGGTGTACGGTCTTAGAATCATTTACACTCGTATTTATGGGAAAAAGTATTGTTTTATTGTTTATTGACCTGTTTACACAAGAGTAACAATGTTGTGGTGCATACATGAAAGGAATGACAAGATTACCGAGAGTCCATTTATTTCCATTCAGTACTCTGAATGTACACTTAAGGTTTTCCACTACTCTTATATTGAAAAAATAAGGAGTACGTACTCCTGATGTTGAAAAATTATCTGGCACCCTGGGGATCTAAAGTGAGTACCAGGTGCCTCCAGTTTGGTTTATTAGGGCGCCTTGCCTCTAGGCAGGAGACCTATTGTAATCGTTCGGATTATTATCATTATTATTTATTATTCCACCGATATTTGTACCAAACATAACTCCTAAACCAATGCTCCGAATCGCCTACAAAAAATCACAGATGCGCACTGAGGTGTAGATATTCCCCTTAAAAATCTCTAGGCTCTAGGCCCAATAGCAAATGGGAGATAATTCAAAATTAATTCCAAAATTTCAAAGTTTGACAGCAAATATCTCAAGAACTAATTGTTCCAACACTTCCAAATCTCTTGTACAGATGCACAATCGAATTCCCAACAATTTTGCCTGGACGGGTCAAGTCACTAAAACGTATCATTTGGCAGTTATTTGGTTTCAGTGTTTGGCCAGTGTGGTAGATGAAGGCTTGGGGATTCCAGAACACTAATTGTTTTGACCGTAGACCCAAGAAAAACTGAGATACAGCCTTTTAAAGAGGGAACTATTTCTTCTCCGGAACTTCTTAAAATGGTACATGACCCCCATGACCCCCGTGACCCCGGGGGCTGTATTTGGAAGATCCGCTCGTCTGTCAAAAACGTTTATTAACGTATATTTCGGTTTTGTTTCTTGTTTAATGCCACACTCGACAATGTTCCATTTATATGACCGCAGCCTCTAAAAAATCAAGTCTGGACCAGACAATCCAGTGATTGACTTCATGAGCTCAGACAATACGTAATTAGGACACAATGACAGGCATCAACAAAGGTAAGCGAGCCTGACCACCCGATTCCGTTAGTCGCTTCTTACGATAAGCATGGGTTGATGCGGACCAATCCTAACCCAGATCTCCACAAGAAGATGGTTGTGTCCTGGTGCCCTGGCACAAAGTGAGTGAGTGAGTTTAGTTTTACGCCGCACACAGCAATATTCCAGCTATATGGCGGCGGCCTGGCACAAAGAGACATTGCATAGCCATACCTGTTTACTGTCTGTAGTGATATCACAGGAATATTGTTGGCAATGAAGAAAACAGTCAATTATGATCCATGTCTTACAGAACTGTCAAAATGATATTTACTTACTGTGTAGGTTGGTGAGTTTGATAATGGCTTCAACAGCAGTGTCCCTGTTCTCCCACTGTGTGCTCACGAGATGCCTGTCCAGCTGGCCCACAATCAAGGGGAGGTAACTGGTCAGACATTCACTTCCACATGCTGCACATGCCAATACACCCAGTATAGAAAATACACAGTCGAAGCCTTTTTGTTGTACCTGAAATATACATTAACCTGCAAGGTATAATGACTGAATTAACAGTTGGTTACATTCATAAACTGAAACCAATTTAAAATATAACTGTCTTATGCCTACATTACCTATCAATGGCTTTCATGCTTAAAGAGCCTAACATGTTCCAAGTATACTGAGAGAAACAAATAAAGGAACACATGAAAATTCAAGCGTTCCTTTAATACTTTCCAGTTTTCATCACCAGCTTTGAATAGTACTGTGGAGGAAATCTGGGAATAAATAAAGGAACACTGCCATGAAGTGGTGTTCCCTTATTTGTTTCCCTCAGTATATTTCAATTAATTACAGACTTAATTATTCGAAAAATGTACATAGAATTTTACAAACAATATTTTGCATATTGAATGTATTTGATACCAAAACTATCTTTCCAGAACACTATTCACTCTGTTCAAAAGAACAGCTTATACATTGAGTACAGGTAATCTGTTCACCTGCATTATTTGTCCTTACATCTTTCCCTGTAAATTATTAATGGTGTCTTAGCCCTCATGATCCTCAAACACAATCATGCCATGCACTCGACCAGTTCATCAAAACTATCCCTTGTAATGTGATCGGCAGTCTGTACTTCAGCAGGCAGTGGAACAAACGTTATAACTTCTACTCATCCCGATCCTCATTACTCAAAGCTGCATCCTGATTGGTCAGGCCTAAACAAATTGTTGTGGTTCTGATTACCCGACGAACCCTTGAATTCTGGTGCCGAACCTATTTTTTTTAAAGAGGTGTGGAAAAATGAAATTTTTAGAGTAAAATTAATATTTTATACTTATCCTGACTCATGCTTATTGCTTGTCTTCTTCTTCTTGCGAACATAGTGGAACACGTGTATCTCCCAATTGAAGTTCCCTTCAATTAAAAAATCACTAATTAGTACTCACCACGAGTGACCTCCCTTCCACAAGCAGGAGCGAGTAGCCACCTGAACCCATGTGCCTCACTCTCTCCTTTTGTTTCGAGCCCGACACTTTATTTTTCGAAGAAATCCAAAGTGTTAAGTGGGAGGAGGGGGAGAGCTTACCTCATGAGTCAGGATAAGTATAAAATATTAATTTTACTCTAAAATTTCATATTTTTCCTTATCCTGACTCATGCTTATTGCTTGTAGAATCCGACGGAAAAGGAGGTGGGAATATATATACTTTGGATTTTAATAATTAGTGATTTGAACTGTGATGATTGTAATAACCCTATGGGAACTTCACAAAGGCACTGAACTGATGAATTCCTGCTGTTTAACTTATCAGCTGCCATATAAAGGTTATTACAATCTATAGAATATGATAAAAGCATATACAACATTAATGTAAGCTGAAGCTATTAATGTGATAATATACACTTCTGTGAGTTTATAGTGGATACTTTTATAAATTAACCAAAGTATTAAGCTTAAGATATGCATATATTTAAGCTTTAATAGTATAGTACTGTGCTTAAGATATAATTATAACTTAAGCTGTGTAATAGTAACCAACTCCTTAGAGTTTGTTAGCTAATACATTTATGCATATGACCATATGACTGAGCTTAAGGATTGATGAAACTTAAGCTGAACATATATATATAGTAGCAAAACTCCTAGGAGTTGTAAGCTTATATATAGTATGATATAAACACCATAGTACTGAGCTTAAGATAATAAATTAAACTTAAGCAAAATATATAGATAGCATGTAGCTATTAGTACTGTTATCAGATAAGTATAAAATCTGTAAGATAGACTTATCTTCTCCGTGGAACTGTCAACTGTTGGCGAGGACCATGGGACGAAATGGTGGATACCTGAGGCGTCCTCGGTGGTGATATCTCTCAGATAGTGGTTGGCAAACACCATATCGGATCTCCAGAAACATCCCTCCATTATGGTATTCAGCGAGCAATTCCCATGTAGAAGAGAGTTGAGGCTAGCTCTAATTTAAGTGAGGATTAGAAGCTCTTGGAGAGTCGAGTCCTGCAGCCTTGTAGGCACGTAGTATGACAGTTCTGATCCAGATAGAGATTGTAGTGCGTGAGAGTTCGTCTGCGTGGCTGTAGATATAGGGATAAATAATCTCTTGATTTTCCCTCTGCTCTGTTTGGATCGTTGGAGATATATTTTCAGTGCCCTCACTGGGCATAGTGATAGATCCATCGTATCATGCGGTCCAAGTATGGATGAGAGAGCCTCGGACGTGGAATAATCTGTCTGGTTGACCTGGCAGTTGGTTTTAAGCTATAAAATCCCAGCCAGTCCCAGATGGCGATGTTATGAATATCATCAAAGCGTGTTCTCTCGTAATCCAAAGCGTGAATCTCTGACATCCTGGCGTCCGTAGCTAGTGCTAACAGGAATAAGGTTTTGTGGGTCAGTGATTCCAAGCGATGTAGATAGCAATGGTTCATAAGCCTCACTAGTGAGGTGTTGGAGACACTATATTTAGATCCCAGGCTGGGCGTGAAACTTCCGTTTCTGATCCTCCAATCGGGCAGCATCGTAACAAAGCGAGTAACTCTGGTGTTTTTGTTAACTTGGCCCGTTAAGCATAGTTATGACAGAACTTATGGCTGCAAGATAAAGTGGACAAAGGTTGAGCCTTTTAGATTCTTAGTTAGCCGTAGATAACATAAGAAATCTGCCACTTGAGGATGTGTAGCATATCTGGCTGTAAATCCTTTCTTAGCAGCGTAATTGACAAAACTGTGCCATTTGTCATCGTTACAAGTTACGAGTTGAGTTATGTAGTGCAAAGCGTGACGCTTTAGCAGCTCTGGCAGAATAACCTCTCTTATTCAGACATGCCTTGATACAATCCATGCGTGAAGTTGGAATGCTTCTGGTGTTTCGTGCACTTGTTTGGTGTCGCGGATGTATCAATAGATTGGCGTTGTGGGAGCTGAAGAATTGGTTTTCCCATTACTTGAATGAGATCTGGAAACCAAGTTCTTGCTGGCCAGTAGGGCGCGACTAAAATCAGATGGAGGCTCTGCGTTTGACTGATTTTCTGTAAGACTTGTTGGATCAACGCTGGAGGCGGGAAAGCGTACGCGTTGAGTCTCTCCCAGGATATGCTTAGAGCGTCCGTTGCCCATGCTAGTGGGTCTGGCACTGGCGACACGAATGTTGTCAGTTGCTTGTTGAATCGAGTGGCGAATAGGTCTATCAGTGGAGATCCTATTTCCATGATTATTTGATTGAATATCTCTGTCGGCGACGGTTGGTGTGGCCGAGAGAGAGCGTCTGCTAATACATTCTTTGCTCCTGGAATGTGGCAAGCTCTGACGTGTATGTTTAGATTGTCGATTAAATCGAACAGTCTGAAACTTTGAGTCAGTAGGTTCTGTGACCTTGTTGAACCTTGTTTGTTCACATAAAACGCCACTGTTGAATTGTCTGTGTGAACCATCAACTGAGCGTTCTGTAGTATGTTGCTCCAGTGACTTATGGCGTTTATGACTGCTTGCATCTCTAGCAGATTTATGTGACATTTGCTCTCTTGATTGCTCCATAGGCCTGACGCTGTCCTGCCAGCAAGGTGGGCTCCCCAACCTTGTAGTGGCCAGCGTCTACGTAGAGATGTGTGTTAGTTTCAGGCTCTACTAAGGAGAAGCGCCTGCGCAAACATTCAATCTCTTGGTCCACCAGAGTAGATGTGGTTTGACATAATCTGGTAGACTGAATGGTAGAGGGTCTCGAGATGAGCATTGATGAGGACTTGTAGCGGACGTAATTGAAGCCTGCCTCTGACTGTCAAATCTTGAGCTGATGTGAGTAGTCCCAATAGGCTCTGCCACTGTCGTGAGTGGTAGCGGAGAGAGAGTAGGACTTGAGAATAAGTTGTTGGATCTTGATCCATCTGTCCTCGGGACTACAATACAATTCTGAGCTGTTAGAAATCGTATACATAGAAATTGCAGATCTTGCATTGGTTCTAGGTCCGACTTTAGTGGATTTACTAACCATCCTAATTGTGTTAGTAGCTTGATTATAAAGTTCAGCTGTAGTCTGAGACGCTGTGGATCTGGATCCACTTGTATACCGTCCTCTAGGTAAAAGCGCTTCGAAGACCTTGACGATGTAGGTATGAGACAATAGGCTTGGTCACTCTTGTGAATACCCAAGGGGCCGATGTGATTCCGAAGGGAAGAACCTTCCATTGGTAATTTTTCCCGTCTAGGATAAATCTTAGATATTTCCTTGAGTTGGGATGAATCGAATGTGTAGATATCGTCTTGCAAATCTATGCTGGCCATGTAATCTTTGAGTGCGAATTAAATGCGAAGTTGCGGTAAGTGTATCATCTTGAAACGTTGGAGGCTTGCAAAGATATTCTCTGTTGAAGATGCTCATGTTGTATATGAGACGAAACTTCTCCTTGGAATTTTTCTTCGGCACTAGGAAAACTGGGGAGTAGAAACCTGGTACGATGTTTCGTTGATCCAGAACTTCTAAGGCCTGTTTGTTTAGTAGAGTAAGTACTGTTTCTCTTAACATAGGTAGTTGTGCCGGTTGAACGTTGAACCCTGGGGGGTTGACTGTTAACGGAGGCTTGGCCTTGAGTTGTATTAGATATCCGTGCTGTAGGATGTTGGATACATATGGATCAAGCACTTGAGACGGTTGTACTGGAACGGCTGGGGGTGGAAGACTCCAGTCGTTCCGAACCTGAATTTCATCGTCTAAATCCACGGGCACCTCTGGATGATCTGCCTCTAGCTGATCCTCCCCTAAATTTGTTGTATGGGCGACGAAAAGAATCCTTGGGATCTTTAGCTGCAGCTAATTTCTTGTCCCGTGCTTTCTGTAGCCCCGAAAACTTGCCCGAGTATCTCTGTGTTGACTGTTTAATAACGTTCGCTAAGGTATCCATGGATCTGATCATAAGAACCTCTCTCGAGTCTTTAGATACTTCTTTGGAGACCTTGTCTATGTTGCCACCAAACAGTAAGGGTGATGACCATGGAGCTGTGTATAGAGATTCTGTAAATTGCTTATCCCAAGAGCAGGAGGCTAGTAAGCCTTGCCGACGAGCCATGGTAGTAGTTTCAGTAAGCGCTGATAGGTGCTCTGTAAGAAATTGGTGGTCTCTTTTCTGCATGAGTAGAGCTGAGTAGATCATTCTATCTTCCTCCTCTGTAGAATTCTTGAACTTGGTGATGAGAGTTTCATTAATCGTTCTAGATCTATTCAATCCAAGAACATCCTCCTGGCGATGGTATCTAGTTGGCGAATTTCGCGATCGTCTACTTTGTAACTTCTGGACTTGGCATAAGCTGATTAATTTAAAGTTGTCATCAATATCCTGGGCCTTGAAAAAGGGGTCCATATTGTGTCCAGCAAATTTCTTGGCATTGAAGACCGGGAAATGTGTAGATTGGACTTTTGAAGATTTGGAACAGGCTGTATCCAAATTAGCTGGTACCGCTGCAATCGGGTCAATAGGAGGTAAGGTGATATTGTCTACATCATCATCCTTCATCAGGTAAGTCTGAGTTGAATTCTCGTTCTTCGATGGGGAAGCCTATTTCTGGTGTCCCCCGCCGTGATGTTGCTGGAATATTGCTAAAAGCGGTGTAAAACCAAACTCAGTCAGTCAGTCGATGGGGAAGCAAGTTGTAACTCATTCACCATCCAGTATCTGATCTCAGCATCTGAGAAAATGATACCTTCTTCCTCTGATGTAGGGTCACATGTCGGAGTCCTAGATCTGTAGGAAGATCTATGAGAGGACTGTGGTGAACGGACTGACGAGTGGCTAGTGTAAGGAGACCTTGGAGGAGACATCCTCGGCGAACGCTGGGGACTTCACGAAGCTCTTCTACATCTTCTGGGCGAGGTAGATATGGAGCCACTTAGCCTTCGCGACCTTCGCGAATGTATCGAGTCAGTGTCCGAATCGACATATGAGTGCTTGCTTCGCGAACGACCTCTGTGTTCTACAGGGTGTGGGCTCGGCGTAGCGCTCCTTCTCTGCGATGTCCCTCGCAACTTGATAGGCTCTAGCTCCTTCGCGGAGGCGGCCTGGGACTTCCTTTGCGAAGTGATCGCTACGGGCTGGGTTGCCCTTCGCGGAGGCGCGTTTGTGGGCTCTGGGGCCCCTCTGGCGAAGCCAAAGGCGGACTCTGGGGCCCTGTATGACTTATTAAGGGTTGGGCTCTGGGGCCCGTGGCTCTGGGGCCTCTGTAAAACGTAACGGTCCTCCATCAGTCTCATGATTTGGTAAACCAGGTCGTCTGGGACGGTCTGCGCTGGCGTTGGGGGTGGCCTCTCTGTGAAAGTGGCCGGGACCCTCAATGCGTAAACTCAGGCGTCAGCGTGAGGCATCTCTGGTTGCGTGTTTATCTGCGCTGTAGTGGCGGTAGCAGATACTGGGCGTTTTCTTGGTACATCTGGAATGATAATCGAATGTCATCATCATATAAACATAATTCTGAGACAGGTAGAATATCGGAGGCAAAATTATTTGTAGCTTTCGTAGATTTCCCTTTTGACGAAGCTGTGGACCTGGGGGTTCGAAGCGTACGTTGAGATGATGTGGACGCTTTCCTAGTCTTAGACTGTGAAGACGGAATGTCTTGAGATGCAGGTAAACTTCTTGGACATAGCGGACTCGTCCCCGCTTATCCCGAGAGAAACTCCGGCATGCCACCAGCGGTGGCGGGTCGTCAGTCAACAGTTGACAGGGTATATTAGCTTCCGATCTATTAGCCATGACTGAAGATTGTTTGCGAGATTTATCTGCCTTCCGTCTCAAAACGGAACATAAATATTTATCAAAGGCAGAAATTGGTAAATTAATACATAATTTACAACGAGAAACAATAGAACATGGAGTAATGCAACTAGGGCATTTTAAGCGTGGATCGGTAGCGGAATACCGTAGTTTACAACCTGTGCAGATTCTCGTGCGTAAACTGCTGAACAAACCGGCGAACCGTGAATAAAACAGCAGAAACACGACTAATAATCAATGCAAGTTGAATAAGGATACTAGTTACACCTCTATAACTGAATATAAGAGGTACTAAACTAAATATAAATAAAGGATATAGTGTGTTGGGAGACACAGGCACTCTCACGTCCAGCTCACTGGGCGAAGAAGGAGAGAGTGAGGCACATGGGTTCAGGTGGCGCCCTCGTTCACGCGCTTGTGGAAGGGAGGTAACTCGTGGTGAGTACTAATTAGTGATTTTTTAATTGAAGGGAACTTCAATTGGGAGATACACGTGTTCCACTATGTTCGCAAGAAGAAGAAGACAAGCAATAAGCATGAGTCAGGATAAGGAAAAATAATAAGCTTTCAGAAACCATTGTTTTTTTCCCCGCCACGGCGGACATCGGTCATTCTGATAGAGAAAGTCGACATGATGTTGCAAACTTGATTGAATAAACAATTACACATTGATAAATGTGTTATTAGTTCATACTTTACTTCTAAAATAAATGTATAAAAAAAATCCTACCAACCTACCTACCCTAAATTTAAAACAAGTGTAATTGGAACCACAACATTTTTTTTATTTGGCCTCATGATTACTACAATGGCATATTCTTCAGACCTCACGGGCAGAAATAAAAAATGACAGACTGATTAAATCCTAAAGATATTTTCTGTTATCAGTCCCTTCATAGACAAAACATTTGTCTTGCAAAAAGTCTAAATCTTGCTCATGTCTCTCAGAAAGTATGCGATGAGTCATGATAAGGCCCACTTCAACACGGTTAGAAGAAAACCTGAGATACAATGTTCTTACTGTATTGTGAGTGCATGTTCCACTTGAGATCTCCATGGTGACATCAAGGGCCTTGGTAAGCATGGCAACAGGAACAGAGCTTTCTGATAGGGTTAGAAATATATTCACATGTTATCAAACGGCAACAACATCAATGTCTGGCTCATGTCACAGATGATATGTTAAAACTTGGATGTCATGATGAAGAAACAACCCTAAACCAGGCATTGTATGTGTTTGTTGCTTAATGCTGCACTCAGCCATGTTTCAGGTGTATGAGGGTGTGCCTATAAATAGTCAAACCTTGATCTGACATTCCAGTGATTCTTATGATCGATGTCATGTTTAAAATTATTATTGATGTGCATTTGTGTGGGCACTTCCATGGTTTTACAGTACTAGACTGACTGACTGACTGGGTTTGGTTTTACACCGCTTTTAGCAATATTCCAGCAACATCACGGCGGGATACACCTGAAATGGGCTTCACACATTGTACCCATGTGGGGATTCGAACCCGGGTCTTCGGCTTGACGAAGCAACGCTTTAACCACTAGGCTACCCCACCACCCCTACAGTACTAGGCCACTGAGGTAAACGCTGCAGTTACACATATATACCCCACTCAAGAAACATGTTACTGACTCCAAGAGAACTAGTTTTAGGAGGTTTGTCTTATTGGTTTCATGTTCAGTGTCAGCACAGTAACAAGTAATGCCTTCGAACCTATTTTTGTATGATAATGCTGGCATCGAACTACCATCAACATACAGTTGACAGTCAACTATTGTTTCTAAAACATACCAATACTGCAGTTGATTTTGTCCAGTAGACTGAGCTGCAGACGTCTGTTGTCTACAACATTCTGTATGATGTCACTGGACAGACGATGTCCCACCAACACATCCACTCTCGGGTGGGTCAGCTCCAAGATCTCCATCATCTCCTGCAGACGTCCATCCTGAAATACAACCACCACTCATACAGTCAAATATGGCCTGCTTCCTCAAAACGCAGCAGCTCACAATCGATTAATTAGAGACGGCGGCCATACAGCTGCAATATTGCTGAGCGGGGCATCGAACAACAAACAAAACAAAAAAAATAAACAAACACAATTATAGCAACAGTACTTTCTTACTAATGAATCTGAAAACAGATGAAAATGTGAACACCAATCTGATTTATTGCACATGGGAAAAGGGATTTGATACTCTGATGTCTGGAATTTTTAGGGTGAGGTGAGGTGAAATGGGGGTTAACATCGTACTTAAGAACACTTCGCTGATATGACGATGTGCATGTGTTTGCATGTGTGGCTGCCTGTACTACCCCAGACTAAAGCTTGTTTTATAGTGCTGGCTCACTGAGATACCATGCCGTAGTTAAGCATGAATACCCCACTCAGACACATTATACTCACTCCGAGCCGACCAGTAGTTGTCTTACCCATTAATGCCATATTTTTACGTCTTTTGGTATGGCCGGCCGGGGATCGAACCCGCGACCTTCCGCTCTCCAAATTTTTAGGGCACATTAGTCAATGCATTTGAGATGTTGTCATGATGCCATAATATTCCACACCCAACTTTTAATCTTCATAACATTGAGTTGTTATTAATACATATATACTGCATGAATGTGTATGGCTGTTGTGCAATGAATTAGTGATATATTGTTTGTTTATTGATGCACTCAGCAATATTCCAGCTATATGGCGGCAATCTGTAGATAACAGTCTGGATCAAAAGCATGTGCATTGATCTAAGTGATCGGAATACGGTGACATGATAGCGACCCTGACCACCTGTTCCTGGTAGTTGCCTCTCACTCTCACCTGCTTGAAAACCTTCACTCTGCATTATGTATACAGTCAGCAGCCATCGACCATTGCAAGAAACCATACAGTTGTGCAATGTCAGCTGAGCACTGAGAGCTTTCTGTCATCATTCTCAATGAAATCCAGACATGTGCTTACATTGTTGGTTATACACTGTATATAGAAGCTGTATGTATTCACAAATGATGGAAGGAAGCATTCTCAAGTCAATATTTACCTTCAGATCTAGAGAGTCAGTTGTGTGAAGAAGCAGTTGGATACACTGTGCCTTGTTTATCATAGCTTGTCTACATGTTTGAAGCAGGCTGGTGTCCACTGACAGGGAAGAAACCCCCAACATGATGCTGTACGGCAACAACACTATCTCCTGCAGCTCAACAGACACAGCCAGCTCTGGAAAACTACCAACACAGAGTATGTCATATATGTAGTCATATGTGCTTGTGTTGGACCTAACCTTCCATTGTGAACAAAACATCTGTTAGAATAGTCATACACTCGCTGTTTCTGTGAATTATTAAGCTAAATAATACTATGTAGGTCACCTACTTCAGGTCATCCAGCAATATTGGAAGTAGGTACAAATTGTTAGTTTTGGTTACTTTTCCTTTCTTTGAATATAGTAATTAATAATAATAATAAGTCATCTTCTGTAGCGCACAGTCTCCAAACACCAAGTGATTGCTCACGGCGCTTAATCAGAATCTGATTCTTATTACCCCGGATAACCCAGCTGCCTGTTAGGCGCTAGAAGGTTATAGTCACATGACTTTATCCAAAGGGGTACCCATTTTCTGCTGGGTGAACAGAGGCAATTTGAACAAACTCACTTGCCTAAGGTGAGACAACATGCATCACATGTGCTTCATTGTGGGGCAAGACTGAAGTCCTAGAAACTCTCAGGAGTCAAGCTGCCAAACATGGTCACCCATCCAAGGATTGTCCGAGCTCGACGTTGCTTAACTTCAACTGATTCGTGATCTGAGCTCTGTGCACAGGACCACGCACCACCAAGATAATTTGCAAGATACCAGTAAATTCCTGCTTTCTGATGAAAACAGTGACTGGTTTTATCTTCACTGAACAAATTTACACTGAATATCAGACAATGCCAGTGATAAAATTATAATGTTACTACTAAAAAGCAAAAGACAAAAGGATTAGAGTCAAAGAAATACATATTCATTTTCTAGGCTATTACAAAGCATATTTAAACTTTAAACAATGAGACCCGTGAAGAGCTGGGTTAGACTGGGTCTACAGCAACCCATGCTTGTTGTAAGAGGCGACTAACGTGATTGGGTGGTCAGACTCGCTGACTTGGTTGACGCATGTCATTGTATCCCAATTGAATAGATCTATGCTTAAGCTGTTGATCACTGGATTGTTTGGTCCAAACTCGATTATTTACAGACTGTTGCCATTTAACTGGAATATTGCTGAGTGTGGTGTTAAACAACACCCAAACCAAAACTATAAACAATGAGTGATAAAAATCAAGTTTCTATGTAATGCTGTTTGTTCATGCAGCATTCAGCAATTGTTTCTCTTCACTATAATGTCAAGACCAGAACATCCAGTGACTGACATCGTGAAAACCAATCCCTGCTGTTGGTTAAGACTCCACTGAGTCCTTTTACAAACAGGATACATTGCTGGGGATCAGTCCATTGCTGGGTTTTAATACGGACAGTCATATTTACAGCACTACAAAGCTGAATATCTGATGTCACTGTACCTTTGGTGTATTTTGACTGCCAGCTTGTGATACTTGCACACAGTTCTCTGTGTTAGTCCATTACCACTGTGATCGAAAAATCTCTCCATGAAATCATCAAGCTTGTCATGTCCTCTGAAAGAAAGAAGCCACAGTGCAGACCACATGAACTGAGTAATGCATTTCAAACTTGTGTGATTGAAGGCAATTTAAGATGGACTGACTGAGTTTTGGTTTTACACCGGTTTTAGCAATATTCCAGCAACATCACGGCGGGGGACACCAGAAATGGGCTTCACACATTGTACCCATGTGGGTATTCGAACCCGGGTCTTCGGCGTGACGAGCCAACGCTTTAACCACTAGACTACCCCACCGCCCCTGGGAGATAAAGAACTTGAGTGTCATGAGCTACAAGGTTAGGTTACAGTTGTTTGGGAAACCTAATCAAACAGGTTCAGCCATGAATTTGTTGTTTTGGTGGTTTCTAACTAACTCACATAATATACATTTACAGATACACACAGAGGTATCAATATGGCAGTTTGTTAATCTAGCCCTTGTTACAATGTAAACCATTCATCATCCAGTCTGAAATCCAACATAGTCAAACAATCTCATTTAAACAATGACAGGTTTTATTTGTAAAGAACCTTTGTAAATTATTTAGCAATGTTTTGGAAACGGAGTGGGCAAATGAGATTCAAGATACCTTTCCTCATATACACCCAGGCATTTCAAGAGTGCCTCTCCACTAAGAGAGTTTGATCCTGATCGCCTTCCAAGACAGATACGCAGCAGACTGTCCACAACATCCTCATCACAGACCTCTTGCAGTAGACCTTCACTGGAGACAAGAACAGATAGAAGGTTCTCAAGGTACAAAGTCAATGGTTTATCTGGTGAATCTGCTGCCTGTTGTAACTCTCTGTGAATGTCCTGAGACAAGAGGCTGCATACTGCTGCTTGGCTTTCTGATTTGTTTTCTTTTGTGTCCATCTGTGAGTGGTTCTGTTTTTTTAATAACACAATGACCAGTTTCCTAGCTGAAGAGTGTAGAAACAGACTTGTGTCTTCTTGTAAAGACTGGATGGCTTGGTCCACATAATCTGAAATACAATTTCTGAACATAGTGAACTTCTGCAAATTTATAAACACATGTGCATTCACAACATATTTTACTGACTGACTGCGTTTGGTTTTACGCCACTTTTAGCAATATTCCAGCAATATCACGGCGGGGGACACCAGAAATGGGCTTCACTCAGTGTACCCATGTGGGGATTCGAACCTGGGTCTTCGGCGTGACGAGCCAACGCTTTAACCACTAGACTACCCCACCGCCCCACAACATATTTTACTTTTTATATAGATCTCAATGTTTTTAACTGAAGGCCACCACAATTAAATATCTCTAAACTTGTTTTTCAGTAACTGTTGAATCTAAGCGCACTCAGATAGCAACAAAGACAGTGTGATGTCACATTAGATGCAGTGAAGTCTCAAGGGTGAGTGAGTGAATATGGTTTGACGCCACTTTTAGCAATCAGCAATATCACGGTGAAGGACACCAGAAATGGGCTTCACACACTGTATACCCACGTGAGGAATCGAACCCGGGTCTTTGGCGTGACGAGTGAATGCTTTAATGACTAGGCTACCGCACCACCCCTCAAGTCTCAAGGTCTTACTGGATATACAATATTCATCATATTGATTCCTATACTCATTGACCATGGAGTCCAGTGAGATGCAACACTATCACTGTTTCAGTGTTTGCTTCATAAACTTAATTCAGTTGTAGCATGCATACCAGTAATGTCAATGTTATATTGTCATCAAGCAAGGAAATTTCAGTATATCCCTATTATATTCATAAGGCTTAAACATACTTTCAATTATAATTGTTAGAGTGGTGGGCCACCTTTTTCATTCCTAGAACCAAGAAACATTATTCTTGAAAGTCCTCAATATTCATAAATGGATAGCACTAGGATCCAACCTTAAGAAGATGTTATAGATTACATAACAACAGTTGACTTCTGACAAGTTCAACTCATGGATGAGAAAAGCCAATCATAGCTACAAAGTGTTAACAAACAACAGTCCACTCAACTTTCTTATCATCACTATCATGCCTGCTTAAAGTGTACTGAAAATAATCAAACAAATGCATACTGATTTAAAATTTTAGAAGTATCATTCCCATACAAGCTCCATCAATTGCACTGCAAACTGCAATCAAATAACAAAAATTTGTATGTGAATATTCCAGGCTGCCTGTTATACCGATCTATCAAACTAAATACTGTCATGAATATGATGAACAGTATTTGACACACGATGGTTTTTTTACCTTTCTCTTCTATTAGCCATTTCCATCCATTTGAAGTCCTTGCCACCTGGCTCAAGCTATCAAAGTAGGATGTTCCTATAGATATATCCTTCCACAGACCTTTGTTACTGATTGTCTTGTACAGATGTTTGGAAACAGCTGAACCCTCTGTCTGCACTTCTTGTCCGGCAAGCTGGAGGGTAAATGTCACAATGCTTGGCTCCAAAGTATCAATTTTCTCAGTTGCCTGTTCAATAAACTGACTTCCTCTTTCACATTCTGTATCTGAAACTGAATGACAAATAACCTAATATTTATAAACAGAGAGGTGAGGTGAGGTGAAATGGGGTTTAACATCGTACTTAAGAATATTTCACTCATGTGACGATGTGCATGCGTGTGTATGTGTGGCTGCTTGATTTATAGTGCTAGCTCACTGAGATACCATGCTGCAGTTAATCATGAATACCCCACTCAGACACATTATACTGACTCCGAGCCAACCAAGCCTTGTCCTATCCATTAAAGCTGAGTGCCAGGCAGGGGCCAACAAGTACCATATTATTACGTCTTTCACGCTCTCCGGGTGGAAGCTCTAACCCTCTACACCACGGAGGCGGCCTAAAGACAGAGATGCATTCTAAGAAGTTGTAATAGGAATGACAAGTCTTTATGGATGATCTATTGCTCAAAAGAGAAGTTTTGTCATTCCTATTAATATTCTCAAAAGAGAAGGCTTGTCATTCCTATTAATATTTATAGTGTCAAACTTCATGTTTTAAGGTAGGTTAAGGATTGGTCCCTCATTACCAAGTTTTCAAAGTATTTATTTTGACTAAATCCAATAACTGTTTCAAAGGTTGACAAAGCAATAACACTCTAATCTCAATAATGACAGTTTGGGGATATGTCAGTTACAAACGATCAAACTCGGAAAGTATTAAAATTATTCATGAAAGCATCGCAACAACATAGTCAGCTTGTTCTAACATTTTTCCTTCAAGATATCCAGAAGTCTTTGGAGGCATGTGTCGTCAGCAATGGGTTTCTGTATACCCAGGAAAAAATCAAAGACTTCTGACAATTTATTAACAAATTGTTTGTTATTCATTGTGATTTCTTAGTTTGTCTCTTCTCAGTTACTCGCTTCTTGTGCGTTTCAGCTCTGAAACTCAACACAGCGATAGTCTATTCCCCGAATTCTAATACTAGAGGGGAGCGACAGTGTCCCGCACTGGTGAGGAGCTTGGAACAGGTACTTGACAGGGACAGGTAACTCTATATTCCAAGGGAGATAAACGTCAAAAAGATCACGTGACAACCGCCATTTGCCGGAGCTCCGAACTTGGGGCAAGTCAAGGGCAAGTTAAGACCATGGCAACTCGAGCATCAAGGAGGTTTATGGGGACCCTGAAGGTATCGATAAACGACACTCACTTATATTAGATTTGTGTATATATTCATTTTAGATTTCACCGCAAACACTCTCAAATATTCCTCGTCTCCACGTGAATACTGCTGATAATCGAACGTGTTGTCAGCTTGAAATGTCCCGTCGAAATTTGAAGGAAGACAAGTGTCATCGTGTCCTTTTGGTTATGAAAGAGAAAAGTTTATTTTGATAAAATGTGTGTTTTTGAAATATTCACATGTTCATGACATTCTTGATCGCTGGTATTTGTCACCTTTATCAATGACATGCGTTATTTGTGGGAATCTCTTGATTATAGGTTCCATTCGCCCCCAGTGTATACATGTTACAAGAACAAGATATAGCTCCAGACAAATCTTTAGTATCCCTTCACTATCCCTTCACTGATGTCTCTTGCCTCCTCCTCAGCGTTAGTTATGTTGTGGTTAGTGTAGAGTTTCTGCAATCCGTTGCCCTTGGATTGTTAGATAAAAAATGCTAACGAACGAAATCAGTAACAGGTCCTTGTTCACAGATCTTGCATGCCTCTACGACCATTAGGGTTAGCTGAATTTGTATTAGGTATGCACCTAACTATCCTTTGGGAAAGATTTCCGCCCTAAACCCTAAGCCTCACCTAACCCTAGAATCTAACCCCAAACCTAACCCTCGAAATAATCCTAATAAATTGAATACATTTCAAACGGGGGTTACGGGCGGAACTCTTACCATCCTTTGATCCCCTTTCATATCATGAGGGTTAGGTACCCCTTTCCAATTAACATCCCTTCATGTTACTTAGCAGTGTTCACAAATAGTGTTTCAAAGTAACAGGACATTGGGTCCTGTAAGCTTCAGATGTGTGTCTGACCCATTGAAAATTCACAGGACCCAAAGAATAAAATTAAACATACATTTCAGATTTAGCCTTTCTTATAATTGACATTGAAATTATTAACAAACATAAGATTTATAAACAGCAAACAAGTGTCACATGTCACATATAAAACAACTTCAGATAAAGTCATCGTAAAATATACAGTCAGACACTGGGGCCGGCGGGTTGTACAGTTCTATCAGACCTTTGCTGAATCTGCCGGATTTGTCAGAGGGTCAGACGCTATTCGTGAACACTGTACGGTCAGGCACCCCTACACAATCCTTAGGGTTAGTTGTAAGCTTGTGTATGTATCAGCCAATAAATCCAATGCAGTTTGAATGAGTGAGTGAGTTCAGATTTATGCCACACTCAGCAATATTCCAGCTATATGGCAATGGTCTGGAAATGGTTTTACAGACAAGCATGGGTTACTGAAGATCAATTTTAACCCGGATCTTCACGGGTCCAATGCAGTTTGAGGAAACTCAGTACATATTTATCAGTTTGGGAGTTTCACGGAGAAAATGGAGTATGAGCATGTCCACTAAGCAAAACAATCAAGTGGTGATGACTTAGTAAACAAGCACTATTTTTGTGTGAGATCACCTGTTTACCTATAATATCATGTTAGCCAAGCTTAGCTTTAAAGAAAAAGAAAGAGATTTCTTATTCATCTATGCAGCAATGATTGAAATAAAACAAAAAACATGCACCTGATATAGTGCTCAACTCCCCATGATTGAAAATGTCAAGACTGACCCACTAAGTATGTCATTATTCATTCACTCACTTGGCATGCTTGATGCAACCTGTCATCTTACAACAATGCAAGTCATGCAAATTTGTCTGATCTCTGAACCCTACACACGATATAACATAATGAGTTAATAATCCCCAATTTTGTTTCAAGGTTGTTTTAACCTCATGGATACACATACTATTATATTAGTTGAAATAGATTGATTGCCTGATTTGTATTTCTAACCTGGACCTTTTTATGTAAAAGTAAGAAATTATGATATCTATGCATGAAACTGAAAGCAACTATGAGTATGAATGTTAGTTTTTACTTTAGTATTATTTCTTTGCTATGGTACATAGTTCTTCATACCACTGTAAAATTTCGTCTAGGGTCGGCTGATGTCAAGCCAGGCAGCCACAGCACAGTCTGAAGCAGGGGTCAGTCTGCCCAAGCAAGCACCAAAGGTGAGCAATCTCTCCTTGCAGGAATGAATAGAATGATGAACTTCAAAAGTATTTGGGATCAATTGTTTGTTTGTTGTTTAACGCCACACTCGGCAATGCTTCAGCTATATGAAGCAGTATGTAAATAATGAAACTGGACCAGACAATCCACTGACTGACATCATGAGCATCGATCTCTGCAATTATAATAATAATGTTAAAATTTGTATAGTGCCTGAATCCAAGGTTTGGCAAAAGCTCTATCGCCATAACTCGCTCTGCAGGTTACAAGCAATTAGGAAGTTTAGAGATCGATTCCCATTATGCTTCACTACAAATTACATATCTTTGAAAATCATTTACCAGAGATATTTTTCAGACTCTTCTTGATGTTTATGTTATCAGTAAGTAATATATTGATATAGTGTTACCTTTCAGTTTCTACATCATGTATATATCCAAACTGAAAATTAGTGAAATGCCCAGTTACAGCTTAACCCAGTGGAAATGTAATAATTCAATTTCAGCTGACCAAGTTGCCCAATGGTATGATAGTTGCCTCCCTTGAGAACTACTCTCCACTTTCTAGTGTGGCTGTTGTAGTGAATGCTGGATCTAGATTTGAATCCGGAGATAACCTTGGCGTGACTCATTGTCTCAGAGTTGCTGCAGGCCTGGTATGTAGACTGACTTCCCTGTTTTCATTCCAATGCTCAGCAGTGATTTAATTCAGCTTGATCATGTTAAGGACCACAATCTTGATTGTACGAAAGATTAGATTTTTACAGCTTCCTATTTTTCAATTACCAAAGTGGAAATCTTCTAGGACTTCATGCCTCTTTAATGAATGAATTTGATGTTTTGTTTTCATAATCCTCTTGTTAACTGTTTCAACAACAAAAATATTGCAGGGCAGTACTTTTCACTGGAGATTTGCTTTGATAAACATTATAAAATTCCAACTGAAGATTATAATTAGGGTTACCTAGCCTTTAGTTAGAGTTAGAGGGTGTTGAACTTTCTTATGTCTGTAAACACTGTTGCATACCTACAGTTTGGTATAATTTCCTTTGCAGAGCACACAAAAAGCATCACAGTTTAAAATAACTAGAAGCATTCAACAGGTTGGAGGAAACTTACAGTAAGTCTAATTATCATTGTCATAGCATCAGTATAATCAGAACGGCTCAAGTGAGATTTTGGTAATGAGATTTGAAGCCAAATTAAGATTGCAGAAACATTTGATTGATGGAAATATGTAATCATGACCAATCCTGTTACAGTCGATAGGTAATGGCATGGTAAACATGGTAAAAGGTGTGCTATTTTGGGGTATTATGTCATAATAACATCACATCTTCGAATCAGTAACATGATTGTCATCATTTGATGTAGTCTTTTTCATTTCACTTTGTTTTTTGATACAATTCAGTTTTTACACTTTATTACACAAATATTTCAGGTGCACTACTTCAAGAGAGTACATGTCTTACAGTTCAGACTGCACCAGAGACAATGTGTGAGTCCAACTTTCATCCTATTGTGTGCATGTGTGTTTGGGGTTGTGCCCCAGCTGTCTCCAGGATGTCAATGTGTTGTATGGAGTTGTGCCCTTTGGTCAGTATGTGTTAGGAGTCTCAGGTTCCAATCCCAGATTGGGACTTAGATCAAAGTTTTCAAGATTACACATCCTCACATCACTTGTAAAAGTATATTGTGTTGTACGGATTGACTAGCATAATTCAGTACATATGTAATAGTTGTCCATTGTTTTATTGATTTTCATTTTGATCCATGGACTCTGACATCCGTTATGATCCTTGACTTATCAACACAAGACCCAGCAGTCACATGCTGGTTACAGTATTTGAATCGTGCATAGGTTTTCAGTATTTTATCCAAAGAAAACCCATTACATATGTAATCTGGCATTAGTGGCAATACAAAGTCAATAAAATTTTAGATGTGAAGAAGTATTGTTATCATATCTGTGTTATGTGTGGTATCACTAAATATAAGAGGAATGTTTTCCTATACTTTAAAAATAAGTTGAAACATTGTTTCTCTCCAGAGATGAAGTTGTTGACTTTTTACGTGACGTCACAACCAGCCCTTCCTTTAAGCCATGGGAGTTGGCTGATCTTCAGTCCAGACTTGACTTGGATCTGGCCATCTTGGATGCCCAACCACAAGTCAGTAAGTACACTCATTACCAGACTTGTCATCATCAATGACAGGGAAGATGTGGGAGCTGCTGGAGCTGACATATACTACTCACACTTTGCTAAGGATCACCAAAATTCACATCTTTTCTGAAACATAGATTTATATTTTGAAATTGTATCCATTTAAAACTGGATAATTAATGATATGTTAATCCCTCTTTAGGCAAACAGCCACTTTAATCTAACCTTATGCACTTGATACATCAGTAACCATAAAAATGGTTTTCATGGCACCAATCAACCATTTTGCATATCACGGAATGAGTCATTGACAAGTACACAACACCTGTCAATAGCAGGTATGGGATCCACAAGATGAAATTACATGTTGAAACCTAGGATCCATGCTTACAATAAGCTTAGATATTTAAACCAAATTGGACCCCACATCATAGTTTTCTGTTGAATCCATGATTTGATCCTTAGCAAAGTATGAATAGTATATTTAATTGTCTGTGTGATAAAACTGCATCGACCCGGGTTAGAATTGGTCTTCAGTAACCCATACTTGTGGTAAGAGGCGACTGTTTTCATTCACATAGATTGATGTTCATGCTGTTGATCACTGGATTGTCTGATCCATATAGCTGGAATATTGCTTAGTGTGGTGTTAAACAACAAGCCAACCACCTTAAAACTACATGATGTATGCTACTCAAGTTTAATTATAGGAATACTAAATATTTAATGGTTTTTGCGTATACATGATGTTCAAAGTTATTGTTGAGTATTTCTGAATCATCATGTAGCAATATTCCACCTATAACAATATTAATTAAGGTGGATTACTCTCAGAATGCGTTCTTGCAGTAGGCCCAAAACTCTGTGATAAAATTAATTGTATGCATTTTTAAACTGGTAATGAAGTATGTGTACCAGTTAATTGAATGTACAATGTATAATTTCTAGAACTGTTTGAGCTGCTCCACCAGGCAGCATTCAGGAACACCTTGGGACGGTCTGTCTATGCTCCTGAGTTCATGGTTGGCAAGTACAGCCCAGAACAGGTTAGTATACATCAAGCATGCAGGTAAAATGCACACTTATCTAAAATGATTTGTATCCTGAATATCTTGGGGGATATGTTCCTGTAGTGAAAAGGGAGGATTTTCATTTTTCATTGAGCCATGTGGACAGACAAGGATCAAATTTGATTTGTATAATGAACCTCCAAAAGCAAAACCTCCTTTCTGACTTAAAAAAATACCTTGAGGACCTTATAGATGGAAATTGGTCAGTGTCCTAAAAATTGTAATAGATCATAAACATTGATCATGTCACCTGCAGCTATGTACATTGCAAAAAAACCTCTCCAATACATGTTTCCAAAATGAGCATCAAACACTCTGAAGGTCTTGTAGTAACAGGTTATGGTCGATGGACACTCCACTTAGAGTATTGGGAAAGTGTAATCATCTTGCCTCTATCTTCTTTCTCGCAGCTGCTTCATTACATCAAGAACTACTACACTGGTGAGAGGATGGCACTGATCGGTGCTGGGGTCGACCATGATGTTCTCGTCAACCTAGCCAAGAAGTTCACCCCATTCAGCTCTGCTGGTGCCGCTTCAGAACCGGCTAGGTATTATGGAGGAGGTATGCTAGAAATAGGGAGTACTTTTGTGATGTGTTGAGTTTTCGTAATAGACAGGGATGATCAATAATTTCCATTGTTTAAAATGGCTGACTAATCTAGCTATATGATGACAGCCTTTAAACATTTGAGTTTGAACCAGACATACCAGTGATTGATATGAGAAGCCTCCCATGTTGTCTCAATATGATTGAGCCAAGTAACTGAGCCTGGCTCCCAATCTGTATTTTCCTCAAAAGACAAGCATCATCAAGCGGGGATTATTGAAAACCAAATGAATGCAATACATTGTGTAGGTTATTATAAATATGCAAGTGGATTAGATCTGATGATGAACAGTACAATAACTTTCGTTAAAGCGTTCGCTTCCCACACCAAAGACCTGGGTTCGATTCCCCACATGGGTACAATGTGTGAAGCCTGGTGTCCCCCGCCATCATATTGCTGGAATATTGCTATAATCGGCTATAAACGTCACTCACTCACTCACTCTTGTTACAGGGGAACTCCGTGTGGCCAACAGCAATCCTCTGACATATGCTGCAGTGGCAGTTGAAGGACCAAGGTTAGTGACTCTACTCCATAACTAACATCCTCGATAATCTCCAGGGTATACGTTACGATCACTCTCCACTATACCCTGGATGCATCCACGGCTTGGCCCGATAATTATATTACCTCCCTCTGCTGGCTCCGCATTCTCACAGTAGCCAATCAGCTAAGCCGCCGTTACATCCGAGCTTGCCAGTGTCAACAAAGATAGCGGTCGCAGTCGTGAAGGTTTGTATGCAGTGCCACTCAGATTTTTAGGAAATAATACAGACAAATTGACAGATCTGAAACTTTCAAAAATTATATAAAAGATCTCCTTCTACCTCTTTCAGAGTACCTCTGCATCAATTGTGTTGCCAAGTTTAAACGGTTAGATAATTTAAGAAGCGAAAGTGAGTTGTGATTGGTTCGCTCAACTTCCCAGCGTAGACACCTGATTGGATAAAAAGCCAGCTAAGGGAGGTAATAAAATCATCGGGCCAAGCTGCGGATGCATCCAGGGTATAGTGGAGAGTGATCGTAACCTATACCCTGGAGATTATCGAGGATGCATAACTAATCCGTGAAAACAGTCTTCTCTTGGGTTGTTTATGTCACTCAGTTGTGTTCAACAATCCCTTAAATGTTCTTTTGTTATCATGCTTCACTAACGATTCTATAGACATGATAAGACATCACTGCAAAGGACTATATCGTTACACAATAACTTGACTGTTTAGTGATGACTCCTTTTGTGATCGTGGTCATATCAATCTCCATGTCACCTTCAATGTTTTTGATGCAAGGAAATGCATGTCTGCTGCATGGTGAATGAAACTGTTGACAGTGAACTGCTTTAGGTTAAACAGGTTTTTCCAGCTTAAACCTTGAATATCAGTCTGTATGATTGCCGAGACAAAGATATTCGGAATATGAATGATAAGTTTCACTCTCTAACTAACGCTGTAGAGCTGCTTCTGTATCACTTCTTCCTGTACATATACTACTCACACTTTGCTAAGGATCAAATCATGCATTTAACAGAAAACTCTTATGTCGGGTCACATTTGGTTTAAATACCTAAGCTTATTGTATGCATGGATCCTAGGTTTCAGTATGTCATTGCATCTTGTGGATCCCATACCTGCTATTGACATGTGTTGTTTATTTGTCAATGACTCGTTCCATGATTTGCAAAATGGTTGATTGGCGCCATGAAAACCATTTTGTCATCCATTCCGTTGCCATGTACAGCAAGCATAGGTTACTAAGGACCAATTTAAACACCAGTATTACAGGACGTCCTCTTTGGATAAAACTTGAAATAGAAATATAACTAATAACAATAAATGCTTATTTGTGTGAAAGCTGCCGGCCTAGAAAACAGGGAACGAGAGGGTAGGATGTCTTTTAGTTCTGTTTGTTGTTGCATGATTGTAATATTGTTGTTGCTTGGGTGAAAATTTTGACTATTGCATGGTATATAGAGTGTTTGGAGATGCTAATGTTAACTGACCTGTAAACTTCCCTTACGTGGCGTATATAAGCTGTGTTCTGTAATGATTAAGATGTATTGCTCCCATGTGTAAACGAGAAGGACATCATGACAAGTGGCATTCTTGATCACTATATTCACCTCTCTATATTGGAAAGGGGTTGAGAGTGTTCAAAATGTTAGCATATCATTCTAATGGCCTGTGTTTTGATTTTCTCTTTGTACAAATATATGAATTCTCACCGTTATACTGATTTATTAAGAAACGAGGCATAAGCCACACTAACTCCTGCTTTTCTACAAAGCAGGGAGGGGAGTGATGGGGTAGCCTAGTGGTTAAAGTGTTCAAGCGTCATGCAGAAGACCCGGGTTCTATTCCCCACGTGGGTAAAATGTGTGAAGCCCATTTTTGGTGTTCCCTGCCGTGATATTGCTGGAGTATTGCTAAAAGTGGTGTTAAACCATATTCACTCACTACAATGCAGATTATATTTGGCTCTGTTTTCGATTGATTATGAGGCAATGAAAATGGTATTGTCAAAAATTTCTTATCAACTGCCTAATGCCCTTAAAATCATCATAATTATGAACAGTCCTTTATTGTCTCTTTTTCTTCGCAAATTGCAAGGTTTCATATGATGTTCAATATCAGAAGGCTGATGTGATTGAAAGTTGTTATTTGAACAAAGTATCAAAATGTTTCCTGTAGTGTATGATTGCTTAATTTCAAATCATGGCCCTTTAAATAAGTTAGCTTGTTAAGGTAATATCCAAATCTTGGAATCTGGTCAGTGTTGGAGGTTGTTCTTGTCAGTTGTAGATCTACAGATTTCAGTCATAATGGGGTTACTAGAAAAGTATATATGTACACATACATTCAATATGTGTGGTTTTTGGTACTTGCAGCCTTGCTGCCAAGGAGTTGCTGCCTGTGGGTGTGCTTCAGAACATCATGGGCATTGGCCCATACGTAAAGTACAGCCCTAACACCACAGTGTCCAAACTGGGACAGGCGGTGTCTGGGGCCTGCTCTCAACCTTTCGCTGTGAGTTGTTGGTGTCATCAATACATGAAATAATAACTTTTGATCAAAATTGAAGTCATTTTTTGTTTGGATAAAAATTGTACCACTGTCGCCTTCGGTCAAGTGAGCTAAAAGTTCTCATAAACTATCCTACCAGTAATATGTTCTTGACTGTCTTGTAACCAAATTGTCCTTTTTCAGTTGTACAGTTTACAATGATCACCAAACGTAGACCCATTTACTGAAGATTTTACTTCTCATAGCATATCTTACCTTTGTATTGTTACCAATGGCTTCTTTTCGTTAGCTCACTCACTGATGAAATTCTCTATTTATTACTTTTTTTCGGACAGGTTTCCTGCATAAATGCCAACTACACAGATGGTGGGCTGTTTGGATTCTCTGCTGTAGCTCAACCAAATGAAATTGGACAGGTATGGTCTTGTTGCATGTTCATAGGACTAGTAACTCTTCAAGTCTCACCTGATTATTACAAAGTTCTTTTGGTCACTTGATGTTTTGTGTATATTTTGGCATGCTGAAATTTGTGATTTTCATATATGTAATCAGTAGTATCACCATTCAGTATTTGCTCAGTATTGGAACAGAAAAGGGGCCAAGAATCATGTGAATATTGATTTTACCATATGATATTCTGTTGGTGTTTTGGATACACCTACAGTGTTCAAAATTGTTGGCAATGCATATGAAGACACGTGAGACTGTTATTAATACGTATTCCAGGTATTGAGAGCGGCATTCAACCAGTTTGCCTCGGTCACCAAAGGAGTCACAGATCAGGAAGTTGCCAGAGCCAAGTAAGTTACTGGTCATTTTTAAACTGTGTTTTGATTGGAGCAAATGTGTCTTGAATATTTCAAAATGTTGAAAAGATTGTATGGATGATTTATAACTGTTGAAGGAAAACACGACAGTTATTGCCTTATTGAGTTACCTGATAGTTCTGTCCTTGCTGTGTACTTAAATGTCATTATATATGTCTAGACCCACGAAATAGTGGAAATAACAAGGAGGCATGGATTTGGGTCAGTCTTATGCCACATGTGACATTTGCATTTGTTGGGTACGTTACAATTCAGATCCCTCAGAAGTCACATGACATATATGTTTCACTGAAATTGTGATGCTATTTAACATGAAAACTGTACGCGACAGAATCCAACTGAAGGCCAACGTGTTGATGGCCGTGGAAAGCCAGGCCGGAGTCATGGTGGATCTGGCTGAACAGGCTCTTGGTCACCAACAAATCATACCAGTAGAGGAGGTCGCCAGGATGATCGACTCTATCACCACGGCCGATGTAGTTAATGTGAGTATGCCATTCAAAGTGATGTACGATTGTCCTTGACTTTTCTAGTGGTTAATCGTAGTGGTGTTCGATGATCGGAAAAATAAAAAATCGAGTGAAAGAAGGATTAATAATGATTATCGATTGTACAAAAAATATTTTTGATTAATTTTGAATTTTGTTGTTTTTGTATAGCACCCTTGAATTAAGTATACTAACCATTTAATTTGATGAATATTCAAGAAATTGGTGATTACATTAAAAATGTATATATTTCGATTATAATCGATAATCATTCTCCACAAGTCCTCCGATAATCGATAGTGGATTTGGTTTTCCAACACTAGTTAATCGTAAATAACTTATGTAGCTTTGATCAATATAGTCAGTCACTCAGAGAATCAATTGCAAAGACAATACTAGAGAGCGTTACTGCAGGTAGAAACATTACCTTAATGCTTTAGACTAAAGACCTGACAAATTTGGACTGGCCGTTTTTGATGCGTAACTGATGGAATAGTTACAAAAAAAAATGGACTGAGCATTTGTGAATAAGAGTTCTTTGCCAATGTCAACATTGGCTCCAACTAGGTCCTTACTTGTTGTCAATACTTGTAATAAGTGAAGACTAACAGCAGTGGTCAGACACTGTAACATGTCCATTTTCATGTCCTTTACGCAAATGGTGTGGCTATTGCTCATGATCTTGGTAATATTCATGAGTGCCTGGCTCAGATCCATGTTTCACAGGTTGACAGATACAGCTGAAATATTGCTGACTGATGGACATCTTATTACAGACCCTGTATAGTCAGTTGCCTGGAACACATCAGGTGTGATTAGCAAATTCAGTGTTTGCCTTGTGTTCAACAGGTTGCCAAGAGGATGATCAACGGCAAGCCCTCCATGGCTGCAGTTGGAGATCTCTCTGGAACTCCCTACCTGGATGAGCTGTACAAGTAACTCTGTGGACCTTAGGACATGTGTGTTAAAGTGTATTGTGATCGGGGTCAGACATCTCCCCGAGTCCTCCATTCAGACAGTTACCATCCAACTGCATTGTTATTTATGGAGTCTTTGGACATTATTTGAAGACGTTCAACTGTGTAAAATAGTGAAACACAAGTGAATAAATGTTTATGAAAGTGTGTCTTGTTGGTGTTTAAATCTTTCACATCAGATAAACATCCATTGAAGCCCAAGTAAATTACAAACAAGTCTGATGACAATGATTTATATACATGTAATGGAATGACAACATTTACAATCTGTATACACATATCTTTCTTTGCTTAGTTTTTTAGCTGGCAACATAGAATCTTTCTGCAAAGCATTGTTTTTTTTGTGTAAAAGTAGAAAAATATATTTACAGTGACCGGACTCCCTTTCAATAATAATGAGAAAAATTCCCCAAATACCAATCTGGAAATGCTGTCAGTTTATTTAAAAATTGGAACATAAGGCCCTATTTACAAACATGCACCTTCAAAGTGATCTACTATCGTGCATTCCTGGGTTTGAACCCACCCCGTCCCATACCCCTTCTCATGTTGCCCCGGCCTGGATGTCCCCCTCTCATGTTGCGATTAGAGTGACCTCCCCTTTGTTGCCCACCACGGTTGTTTGAACCTCTCCCTTGACCCTTTCCACCCCGATCTGAATTATTATTTTTATTTTTGGGCTGAGGGGACTTTGGTCGAAGTCTCTCAATCTCCTCTGTACATCCCGTCACATGATGAGACTCATCAGGAAACAATCTGGCATAAACCTCCGGGTCAAAGTTACTGCTTGTGACTTCCGAACCAATAGACAGCCAGCCTGGTCTGATGGTACTGTCTCTGGCAAACAAATGGATTCTTCTCCTCCCAAGACAGAAGTGTTCAATGATATGGAATATTTCCACAGGCTTGTCCTTACAACCATAAGCAGGCTCCTCTTCAATAATGAGGTCTATGTCAACGTTGGCATGGATGAAGTCTCCATCTGTGCTTCTCTTCACTGTACCCTTGATCCCCATCAGACAGTGTTCCTGCACATTAACATACAGATAAGCACACTGTGAACACTCTTCGCTAGATTCCTGAAAGCTGGACTGCAGCTGGGATAGTTCAACTCAAAAATTAGATTAAAACCAATTCTCTACAACTAAACGGTACAGACAGGTTCTAATACTGACATAGGTACCCAGATGGTATTTTGAGATTATTATAAGAGCAAGTGTGTCATACGACTTATTGAAACGAGTGTGAAATTTTTGCACGAGTTTTGTATAAGTCATGACACACTTGCTCGAGTGTAATAATTTCTTTATCCATTTTATTCATGTACATTTGTGCAGTAAAACATGGTAAGCAAGTGTGAGGGCCCACTTCATTGATGTCATGTTCAATTGTGTAATGACATCACAGACGACGAAACACAGAAACAATGGTTGCTCGGCAAAAGTGATATGTGCACATATGATGTATGACACTTGTTATGTTTTACCATATGGGTAATAAATGCACATAGGTATTACTTTGAAACTTCAGATGGTTGTGCCTCTCGATAAAATCTGTTTGGAGCACAGCATCTCTTTAATTATGGTGTCTATAGCCTGCACATTTTCAGTCCTGGTGTAAATGGTGTAGTGAGTGCCATATGTGTGAAACATTATCTCTGGCTTACAGAGTTACTCATTAACTGCTAAATTACTTTACATTTTGATTTTGCTTGGACTGCCTATTTAGATGGAGCATAGTCCCCTTTAAACTTTTAATGGACAGTTTGTAAATGATGCTCTTCTTCAGAACAAGTAAGATGATAGTTTTGACCACTTGATCCATACATATCTTTGACAGCTTCATTTTAGGTGTATGCTCATTATATTCTTCACATTGCTCAATCAATTTGAACATATTGCCCATGCTAAAGTCTCACCTTTGTTCTCTGGAAGATAGCATTGGGTTCCAGATTTTTGTTGTGTCCTGGATTCTTAATATTAGTCTTGATCCAACAAATATCTTCACATCTCCTGAAGCCCCATCTCTTCAGACACTGAAATAATGCAAATTCACTCTTGTAAATATCAAACTATCTTAGTCTGAACCTGTCTCCTAGAAGGGTTACTAATTTCTGACAAATGAAAAGCCTGTATACCAAACATTCAGCTGCAAGACAAAATTAAATTCTGCACACATGCTCAGAAATAGTTTGAAGAAACATGCATGTCTATAGGAATTTATCCCAAAAAATATGTAAACTCAGATTTAAGAATAGTCCTTAATCTATATGCATGAACTTCATTACTGCTGTATATGATAGTGATATCCTGTGCTTTGCAATGTAGGAGTATCCCCACCTGTCTGCCTCTCTCTAGGCCCTCAGCATTGCCACACCAGATCCACAAGAAGGACCTCTGGGCAGCTATTGCAGGAACATCCAAGCGTTCAATCTGAAGCAGCATCAAATCTAATGAACCAGGTCTATACAACATACGTCGTTACCAGTGTTTTCTGTGCCTGGCAACTATAACTGAAGACATTATTCCAGGATTTCCAAAGGCTTGCTTAGAAGCTCAGAGGTAAACCGTCCTCAAAATGTATTGCTATCATTAGCACTACTGTAATAATCAGATGAACATTGAAATGCAGGAGCATCATTCCTTCCATTTTGAAAAATGGAGTACAAAGTTGTCAAATGTATTTGTATTTCAGTAAGCTCTTCTTCATTTAACCTGATGTCAATATTTACAAATTAAGTTATCAAGTTATGATTAAATTTTAATAATTTTCTTCTGATTGTAGAATAAATGGCATAATTTGGTCATGGAACTATTAAAGTCAAACTACTTCCAGAATTATAATTTTGTTGACATACATAGTAAGCTAGCATAGACCGAAATTGGCAGTAATACTATCGCCTTTGTGGAAGATGGTTCGACCAAACATACCTCATCCCAGTTCCAGTACCGATCAAACACAACCCCTTTAGTTCTCTGGTACTCCACCAGAGGGGGTTCAACCAGGATCACATCAAACTTGCACTGAAGCTCTCGAAGATCAAATGTCTCCAGGTCACAGTTGTAGTACCTGAGAAAATAATCAACTCCAAAATAGTGAAAGCTGAAATGTGCAATGACTCAATAAATACATCTTTGGTTTGTTTTTTTAATGCTATTCCAGCTATATGGTAACAGTCCGTAAATAATCAAATCTGAACCAGACAACCCAGTGATCAACATCATGAGCATTGATCTACACAACTGGGATATGATGACGTGTCAACCAAGTCGGCGAGCCTGACCACCTGATGCCGACAAGCACGTGTTGCTGAAGACCAATTCTAACACAGACAGGTCAAACATATATCAGCTTCAGTGGTGTGGTGGTCATCAAATCAGAAGATTCAGGGGTGATTGTTGTCATTTAATACCTCTGATTGACCAATCAGAATGGTGTTATTTCCAAATGTATGTTAGATTTAGGTTTTGTAATGTGTGGAACATGCCATACTGTGATAAGAACAGCTATTGTGACTTACATGGGAGGAGAACTGGTTTTGGATATGAGTTCATCCTTCAGTCGAATGAGTTCTCGCAGTTTGGGGTACTCTTCAAACCTGTTGGCTAGACCTACAGTGAAATAACAAAAGAATCTTTAACTCTGTGCTGCTGATGCTTGAGGTGATAGTGCCATTGCCATTCAGAAACTGTGGTGGTGGAATTGGGTTTAACGTCGTGCTTGAGAATATTTCACTCATATGATGACGTGCATGCGTGTGTATGTGTATGTGCGGCTGCTTGTACTAGCCCAGACTTAAGCTGGTTTTATAGTGATAGCCCACTGAGATACCATGCCGCAGTGAAGCATGAATACCCCACTCAGACACATTATACTGACTCCAAGCTGACCAGTCCTTGTTGTACCCATTAATGCCGAGAGCCAGGCAGGGACCAACAAGTACCATATTTTAACGTTTTTGGGTATGACGCGGTCAGGGATTGAACCCGCGACCTTCCGCTCTCCGGGCGGACGCTCTAACCACTACACCACGGAGGCTGTCATAGTGACAGTGAGACTCCATAGTAGCTACATCCTTAATAGTTTCAGCATGAAAGTTATTATTTTTTACGTCAGCTATCGTTTATAATGAAGCTACGTCTAATTTCAAATTGGGCATTTAAAAGTGTCCTTTATAATACAATATCGTCGCACACTAATTTGCATAAAGCCATGGTCTGTTCCAAATAAATCGTTTTGGACTTCGACAAAAACTGCATTGCTCATTTCTGCACTCATCTCTCTTAGTAAAGTCCTTGTTCTACGTTTCCTATGTCCCTACCACTGAGACTGTTGTTAGGCCGAACTTAGTTTAAGAGATATTTCACACTTGCACATATCAACTACATAAATTGTAGAGATAAATGAGAAAATACAGTTTTTTTCTATTTCCGACAGTACTTTAGTTTGTGTGCTCACCTGAACAATCATCAATTACATAATCACATTATCATTACTGTCAGAACATTCAGATGAGCTAGTTATAGAGATATGCTTCTCAATTTCATTTGTTTTTGCTACTTATTTAATAAAATATAGAAAAACATATTTTTATTAATGCAAAGAAGCGACATAAAATGCACCCAAGTTGTTAGTAAGTTGGGTTTAACAACAGTTCTCACAGTATTCAGTTTATAGAGTCACAGTATATGTGGTAGAAAAGCCTGACGCAGGTCTTGGACATTAATCACTATGGTGAAACACATGCATGACAAGATAGGGTGAACCAGGATTCTCTCCATGATAACAGGCTTCCGGCATGTCCAGCTGATACAACTCTGCACAGCAAATTGTTGGCCGAACTCAGCAATATTCCAGCTATATGGCGGAAGTCTGTAATAACCAAGTCTGGACCAGACAATGCAGTGATCAACATCATCTACACAATTGGGATACAATGACATGTGTCCACCAAGTCAGCAAGCCTGACCACCTGATCCTGTTAGTTGCCTCTTACGACAAGCATGGGTTACTGAAGACCAATTCTAACGCAGATCTACACAGGTGCACAGCAAATTGTAGTACCTTGTGCAACTTGACCACCTGTGCCCCCACAGAACAATGACACACACATCCACAACACATACTGTATCCACCTCCTCCTCACTGCAGGAGATACCATGAGATCTTATCTACCCAACAGGAACATCTCTTACCAACATCACGAATGAAATTCTGGGGTCTTTCACCAGTGTCTACAAAGTTCTGGCAGTAGTCATTGTGAGGATTGGCACTCTGCAACCCCTGAAACCAGCATCATCAGATATTACCACAAACAGAATCGGTCTCAAATGGTTGAAAAGGTCAAGAAAAGATTATGCCTAGCAGTAAATGAAGTACTGACTATACAAACATGACCCCAAGCTACAGAAGCTATTTGTACCATCATTAACATTAATTTTTGTCATATGAGCGAAATATTCTCAAGCACGACGTTAAACCCAATTTCACCTCACCTCACCATCATTAACATTAATCTTTGTATCTTTTTAGCTTTGAAAAATGCTTAGACATAGACAATTAAAGTGTCCATGTCTTTTGAGTACATCCATTTATAACATAAACCATCCTGTTTTTCCATTCATATACGACTTGGTGACTTACCTTCAGGAAGGTGCTAGAGTCTCTATACATCTCTTCAGTATCAAAGTCATCTTTTTCTCCATCATTCTAAAACAAGACAATATAACATTCCTAAATTCACAAACAAAAGCAACATCACAGTACAGACTACATTCAGTCCCTTCACTCCCTAAAGCCCTGTGACCAATCTTCAGACAATCTGTATAAGTAATCTTTGTAAATACTAAGGTCACAAATTTACACTTGTCCTATTTTTGGTGCATGTTAGTTTCTTTCACAGCATACACCAGTCTAGAAGTTGTATTCATTATTTCAAAGTTTTCAATGAAACAGTTTCATTTTCATTTAAAGTAAGCTTGATCTTTACCTATGTACAACAAATTTAACAAGTTTATAGTTTTAATAATTGCCCCCCTTTGGCCACCTTAAAAACGCTAAGACTCTAAATACACTGTATGATGAACGCAGTGAGTGAAACCATGCAAACCTACCATCACTCCTCTATTCATCATGTAGTGTTCTAAATTATTGGGGATTCAGCCCTCCACCCCCAAATTATAACATTTGGTATGGCAAGAAGCCGTTGACTTTCAGGCTTAATTGTAAACATTGTTAATGTTTTCATTAATTGATTATTTCATACATTATACAGCATGTTACGAAGAATGATTGTTCACATTCGAAAGCCTATGGTAAACTATATAGTTCCAATAGCTTGTACTGATCCTAGGACTGCATGGTATTACCAGTATCATGCAATACGCTTTTAAAACGATACACATTGTAATAATTTGTCTGAGAACCAGTATATTGGGTAAAAAACATATGAAGTATGCTTTGTGGATTCTGATTAAAAAAACCAACTTTTTTGACGTCCATTGGGTTCATTTACATGCTTGTGATTATGGATATTCATTTATTTCTTTAATAGATCAGTCTGCTATTATCATATTTATGACTTAAAGACTGTAGGTATGATACTGACATCTTTCTGTTTTTGGTTGGGATCACTCCAGACATGTGGTTCCTCGGCCTGCTGCTCCTCTGTTCTTTTCTTCACAACCGGGAAATCAGGTTGGCTGCTTCTGAAAAAGACAAACTGCAATCATGAAGAGCTGCTTGGTGATATTTTTGTACAGAAAATTAGGATGCTAGTTTTTCATTCACATCATCCATACTTCACAGGTTTTGTATACACTATATATTCACTGTCATGTCATTCTTGATTCTTTCAACACACTTACACTTTTAAATCAAATCTGGTACTAATTAAAAGAGTACCACAGTATATCAATGTGTCCTACATGAAAAAAATTCGTCTAAAGTTTAGTGATCAGCTCCAGTTTCTTTCTGATTATGGAAATTTATCAGCTGCCGGTAATAAACTTAAGGATTTCACCCGAGATAAAAAAATCCATGGCCTGCATCGTTTAAGTTTTCTGTCACACTACGTAATATAACAGTCTGTGCCAAAACTGTCCACTGTGTCCCAAATGTTCTTTTGAAATGATTTTCAGCAAGATTTCTCTCTATACTTAGTAACAGTCATAAGCTTACATTATGGGAATGAAACACATTTGACTATACCCTGGCTTCTGAATATTCTGATTCAAGATCTTGACACTGACAGTTTGTATACCATGGCACATATCTGCAGTATTAGTCCCCAGAATGAAACACATACGTCGACGGCTTTTTCTCTTCTTGACCATCTCCTGTCTTGAGTACTGTTTTTAATCCATCAGGAGAACTGACACCCAACTGAAATACAATACACACATAAAATAAAACATATCACTGAACAGAAAATTGTAAAGATTTACATCAAGTTACATAGTTTGTTAAAAGAAGTGATATAACTAAACCTAACCAACAACTAATCCAAAAGGGTACCCTGCCACATGTATCACAAAGAGGTGTTTGATTTTCTAACAACCACAAGGACTATTATAGGGTGTTTAGGGGCATACTACCCTAAAGACTAAAAGTGAGAGAGTGAGTTTGGTTTTACGCGCCGCTTTTAGCAATATTCCAGCAATATCACGGCGGGGAACACCAGAAATGGGCTTCACACATTGTACCCATGTGGGGAATCGAACCCGGGTCTTCGGCGTGACGAGCGAACGCTTTAGCCACTTGGCTACCCCACCACCCCAAGGACTAAAAGGGTTAACCTACCTAACACTAACATAACTACTTCTAAAAATTAGCAGGCATGCAAGATTAGTAAAACAAGAGCCATCCCTGACAGCTGTAGACTGCCCAGTAAACTATGGTCTTGCTGCACATGGTATGGGGTGTCTGTGATTTGAAGAATAATTGGGTCCAAAACTTGCCACAAATCTGATGAAAAAATAAGTATATACTCTGTTCCTCTTAATAAAGAAGTTGACATCCATAAAATCCTCTTCCTTAGATCAACAACAGTCTGTTTGGAAATTGGTTGCAAAAGGGGATAGATGTTTTCAATCTGCCTAAGAGTTCCAGTATTCTCACCAGATACAATGAAATTTACTATAATTGGCTAAGGTTGCAAGGCACAACTTCACAACTGTTCTTCCGTCCTGAGGGTTAGTTGTGTTACTTTGGGTAGGTTACCCTTAACTCTATCCTTAGTCCATTTTCAATCAAGCACACCTATGTGATCATTAGAATATCCTTTTGGGTCCTCAGAGGTCTGAATGGGGTACAGGTTGACTGTCTCTTTGAACAAATTCATTCAATGTAACTTGAGGAGAATCTGTAAATTGTTATCAAGTTTAATGGAGAAAATGGCTACTGGCTATGCATGTAAACCATCATTTGCTGATCACTTGTTACACTAGCACTAATTATTTATGAAAAAAACTAGTTGTACAATGGTAAAGCTTTGACTGATTACATTAACTCTTCAGCTTTGGTGAGTTCCAACACAATCATAGCTATAATGGTACTATTTACCAATATGTTTCCAATTTATCAAACATAATAATTGTAATGTTTTAACAATTTTACTATCATATTATTATCCAAAAATTAGAAAGAACCAATTTACATGTCTACATTGGATTTTGAGGAAATAATTTAGACACATGTCTTCATTTAATAATTTAACACCAGTTAAAGTTACACTCTACGAGAGTAATGCACTTTTTTTCCCCGATTTGTGCGGTGTGGAGGATTGAACTCACTTTCCCTTCCAGCTGGAAGCTATGTCAAGAGTTAGTTCTATTAGCCAACACACTACCACAGGACAAAGGCTGCTATCACTTACAATCAGTTCTCATTTACCATGTCATCAGCACGCAATTGTTTACCTTTATGCACAGTAGACAAAAAGGAAACTTGATTTAATACTACTGTATGGAGTTTCCTCAAACTGTGTTAGCATTATTTAGTAAAAGAGATAGCTCTGTACATCGACATACTTGCACCCTATGAAAGTAAAACTACTTTCATGAAAGTACATGAAAGAAAAACTGTGAACCCTTTTTAGTGTTAGTGCCGGTACTATTGTTATATCCAATATTATTCCCGGGGACGTTCATAGATGCTCCCTGGGCCTGACATCAATAAAGATTATTTAGTATGAGCGATCTAGTCTTACTGTCATGAAAACAACAAAAAATACTCCAATCATATGGTCTCTGAGAACAATGTCCAGTAGGCCCAGTACTCCAACCAAAACAAACTAAAACCCTCATGCTTACGGCTTGTGCAAGAAGCTGCTTTCGCTTCAGTGATTTCTCACGCAATTCTTTCAAACGATCACCCATTTGTGAAACCAAATACTAATGAAACAATATTAAACCTATCACCACTCTTCTAAAAACTTTACTGCTTTTCCCTCCAACGGAAATAGAGCCAATTTGTGGCTGTCGTTGACTGGGCGTCAGTCTAGTGACTACTACTAAACGGCTAAGTTGCTTAACAAAAACACCAGTTATGCATGGAGGGTTAGAAAACAAATGTTGATCTCATATACTGATATAAGATTGGGTTCGACAATAACCGAATGTTTAAAAACCAATTCATAGACTGAAACCAAATCGTTACATATTCCCGTTTGTCCGGTCACCTTTATTACGACAACCGGATTACGGTCTCTATATTACCTTTTCCTTCCTAAAGTTCTTAGTAAGAGTTTCATTCAATCCTTCCATGGATTTGTATAAACTTACCATGAAAAATGTTTTCTTACAATAATCAGTTGTATAATACAAGTTATTATGAAATATATATAACGGAATTGTTTGTATTATATGAAACACATGTTGTGGATACAAATACGCCATAATCACTCTCAGGAGTAGTTTTGAGACGACAAGTATATTGCTGTCTGCTGAAAATGCATGGGAAAGGCATAGTTTTCTTCGTTTTATGACTGTGATATTATTAATTTAGAATGATTTGAATACATTTTGGGTCCTACATTTCATTAACACATTGTTTCATGATGCCTCGTTTGACAGGTGTTGTAAGTGCCGGACTTAAACCTTTGAAAAAGTTTAAGAACTATGAAACAGTGCCGACGTATAAAATACTTTTACCTCCTATACTGAAGGACTCTGTGCCAGACACAGGGGGGAAAACGAAAGGTAAGATTGTTTTAATCAGTTGCTCATCGCAGGGTCAGTATATGTTGCTAAAATGGAATACATTTTCACTGAATAGTGATTATTCTACAATCTGGCAGGAGTAAAGTAGTTAAAAGGGTTAGTCTTTCACCTTGTCCTCAGATGTTCAACATTTTGGCTTGATACAGGCTGCCAAACAGTTAACAGTAGCACGCGTGCACAGTTCCGGTCAGTTACAATTCTGGTATTTTGTACCACGATATTTGAAAACAATAAGGGACAGCAAAAGAAAATTCTTGACAGTAAGTAACAAAAGAAAACATTTAAAGATAAAGTTATGAACCCTATTAAAAACATTAACTTTAACATCAGGGGATGTCACACAATCTATATGATAGCAAGTTCAAGTTCACAAAAGTCATTAATTGTTCCATTCCCTTTCAATCTGCTATGAAAAAAACACTAAACTAGTCACACATTCAATTATTCCAGGTTACTTTATGATATAGATAAAATGTATATATTATTTCACAAATGACATGAGAAATTCTGAAATGGCGATAGCTATTAAAAAACTTGTGAGAAAACATCTATTTGTACCATCATGATTCCCTTCCGCCGCGTTATATAAAAACACAATCGGCAGCAGTGAACGGGGTGGACACATTGGTGAATAGCTAATTAAGTATCATGACTAATTCTGTTTCATTAATTTAACGAACATCAGAATAATTTTATAAATAACGCTAAAATATGGCCATGCTTGTCATAAGAAGTGACTAAAAGGATCAGGTGGTCAGGCTCGCTGACTTGGTTGACACATGTCATCATATCCCAATTGCATAGTTATTAATGCTCATGCTGTTGATAACTGGATTGTCTGGTCCAGACTCAATTATTGACAGACCATACAGCTGAAATATTGCTAAGTGTGGCATTAAATAACAACCAACCAACCTTTTATATTATTTATTAATTTATGTAAATGTTATGATTCTGCAGATACCATAAATATCACTTCAGTTTTCCTCTTCATTCCTTTTAAAACTCTACACCAAGCTTTGAAAGATTTCCACCCATATCCCTGGAATATGAAATTATGACTGGGTGAGTGCGGGCATATGGGCGGATGTCTTACCAACTGTATCCTAACCTTGGATCCCCTTCCCAATCAAAACACTCTCTTTTATGATCTTTGGAGTTATGTACCCATTTTGATTTTTTGTCAAGATAATCAGGTGCTGATCCCAAGGTAAATGAACACTGTCAGGGTTTTACATAGCTCTTTGAAACTGGGAGTCCTGGGGACTCAGGGCATATTTTTTTGAGAGTCCATTTCCAAAATTGGGGGTCCATCAATTTGCATGAAATCAATGATCATGGATGCTTCCCATTTGATAATGATTATGTTATAATATGTGCTTCTTTCAATGTCATTAGAATAATGATTGTAAACAGAATGTTTATATTTCAACATGGGATATCATTACAAACTCAGAAAGTTCATTCCCAGAAAAAATTATATTGCATCCACAAGGACGTACTGGATTTTAGTTTGGGGGTACTTCATCAAATTTCTGCGTCCAATACGCAGGAATCCCGCGTCCCCTAAAACCCTGCACTGTTTTGATGTTGTAGCACCCCTGGTAAAGTGATGGCCAAATAATGGTCTCATTGCTCCAGCCTAGCCAGGTAGCCAAGCTTCTAACTGGCAATGCAGGTTCGATCCACCACTTTGCTCTAATGAAAAGCTAAAATGTGTGACCAATTAAGTACAGTTCATCCAAAACATTTGCTGGCCTACTGTTCCTTATGAATATTTGTTCTGTTTGATTTCAGTTGCAGTATGCCTACAGCAAATGAACGTCATGATGGCTTGTTGGAAGAACAATGAATTTAATGAAAGGAAATGTTCAGAAGAAATTAAAGCCTTTAGTGAATGTATGGAGAAGTCAAATGTAAGTATTACTTACAGTTTAAATTTATGATATAAAAATAACAACACCCAAACTGGCCATGTTATGAGCACAGGCCTTCATGTCTTTGCAAAGATTAAAGATTTAAAAAATTATTTTTTGAGATGACCCCAACTTGAAATGCAACACAGTACAATACATTATGACAAGGCCGGACACTTCGGATGCACCCTACCTGACTGCTTTGCCCATCGCTACGCTACCATCAGATGCAATCGATTAAAACTTAATGTAAACATAATCATGAATGATTGGCCTATCAATCACCACTCATGACACCTACCAATTCTTTATTGTTATTTCTGCAAGTCGATTGAATCCCGATTTTGACCTTCAACTAAATGATCTTGACACAAATGGATGACGATATGTCCACACAAAACGGGGGTATGGTCGAAGCAAGCCCACTGATTGGTCAATGCTTGTCGATTTGCACATTCTTTATAAATTTGCGTGAATTTTTCCTTTCATCGACTGCTTAATGTAAGAATATTTTTCAAGCAAAGGCTTCTCAAAAGAAAGCATCAGTTGTAAATGTCTCCTCAACAAGGATCAACCAACCAGAGGGCTTGCTTCGACCACACCCCGTTTTTTGCCTGTGGTTGAGGGTTTAACCCAAATGGAAACTGACTTGGTTGACACGTCATCGGTTCCCAATTGCGCAGATCGATGTTCATGATGTTGATCTCTGGATTGTCTGGTCCAGACTCGATTATTTACAGACCGCCGCCATATAGCTGGAATATTGCTGAGAGCGGCGTAAAACTAATCTCACTCACTCACCCAAATGGAAACCTGCATCAGGCTCCCACATTAAGCTGATAAGTTGTCTTCTGATTGTAATACTGTTAGACGCAGCATTTACCAAACTCTCTCCTTTTCAGAAACAGATCTTCGTAAATGTATAAAGAAAATTAATCTTGGAAATGTTTTTATTATTCTGTATCTTAGTAATTCTTACTCTTAGAGGAAGAGATAATGAATAGAGGAACCATCGTACTTTTGTATCCAGTGCCATTGTTAAAGTTTTGTGTCAGGTGATCTTTTAATAAATGAAAGATGTGTTGTTTTTTCTGTTCAGACAGATATCAGATTTCTAAAATGGTGTAGCATATTTTGGGGTTTTTCAAATTTCAAATTTAGCATATTTTGTTATTAATTTGATATGGAAATTTCAATTTGTACCAAGGACACCCCATACAGAACAAAAATAATGTGAGTGAGTATGGTATTACAACATAAGATGACTATCTACTCTCTACATTGCTTCTGTATCATTGCAACGATAGTGAGTGAGTGAGTTTAGTTTAACGCCGCTTTTAGCAATATTCCAGCAATATCCATTGGGGACACCAGAAATGGGCTTCACATATTGTACCTATGTTGGGAATCAAACCCGGGTCTTCGTTGTGACGAGTGAACGCTTCAACCACTAGGCTACCACTGCCTCTACTCCCTTGTGGGTATAGATGTTATTGCACTCCTGGAGACTGGGTGTATTGAATGCCCTCAACAATATTATGACACTGACTTATCATTTTCTGTGATTTACATATTGGAATTTGTGCCTTGGTGCGTAATCGAGATACCGAAATCAGATATGCAACTATTTTGCATTGCTTACTGACTCGTACAACCCTTGAAATAGAATTGATTTTCAGCCACCCATGCTTGTCATAAATGGTAAGATGTGACTAAAGGGATTGAGTGGTCAGGCTTGCTGACTTGGTTGACATATACAGAGATCAATGCTCATGCTGCCTGGACCGACTCGATTATTTACAGACTGCCACCATATAGCTGGAATATTGCTGAGTGCGGCTTTGAACAACAACCAAACAATACTGACCCAGATAAATGAACCCTATTTGGGTATTTTTAAGCGATTTTCTATGTAGGTGACCTCAGATCTTCTTGCTGAGATGTATCATGAGTAAAGTCAATGAGGTTGATGTTTTTATTAGCTGTACTCAAAGTTCTCATTTTATCATGATTATGTGAATATTTGAATTTCACAATTAATATTCAAGTCTTTGACATTTTAAATGTATAGAATGTTGTAACATTCAGATATAATGTCCTTGTGTCCTGTTGGTATGGACATTTGGTTACTAGTTATGGCTGTTGGCTGGTTTTCATATGGCTAGAGTATATTCGATATTGCAGACAGCAGCATTAGCTAAACTAAACAAGACAAACAATATATTTTCAGTGACATCATGTGACATTTGCATGTTGAAGACAAATTTTGTACCAGTTATTGATGTTGAAATTTATGGCATTTTGCGGAAGTGCGGCATAAAACTAAACTCACTCACTCACTCACTCACTCACTCCTAATGCTAATATCACACACAGTTAATGATGAGTGTTCTTGGTGCTTTAAAAATATGATTGAATGAAAAGGAAATGAAATCATTTGAAAAATAAAATATGAAGGAAAATAGACTTGATTATGTCAGTTGCATGTACAGTTTAGGGGACATAACTCTTCATGGCATAATTGATGTATCGGGATAGTATGGGATTATATTCATTGATATATTCATGTTACCAACCAATGATATTTTTACAGTTAAACAAGTCACCAGTTGATAAAACACTTTGCATCATAATAAAGTTTTGAAATTAGAAAGTGCCTAAACTGTCAGAATGGTCAGTTATGTCCATTTTCAGAGCTGTGATGGGATTTTCCTTCACTTTGTTTGGTTTGGTTGTTGTTTAATGCTGCATTTAGCAATAATCCAGCTATATGGCGGTGGTCTGTAAATAATCGTGTCTGGACCAGACAGTCCAGTGATCAACAGTATTAACATCATTCTACACGATTGGGATACAATGACATGTGTTTACCAAGTCAGCAAGCCTGACTACCCAATCCCATTAGTCGCTTCTTTTGATAAGCATGGGTTGCTGAAGATCAATTCTAACCTGGATCTTCACTTTGTACCTGAAGGAGCAGGAAATGTAATGTTCTATCCCTTTCCTCCAAAAGTTCAGATATTCTATCATCTGTTATATCTCATTAAGTTCATGTGAGTTAGCTGCATAATTATTTCAAAAGTAAGGGTTCACCTTCTCTTCTATGTTCCAATCATCACATAACTGAAATATTGTTGTAATTGGATGCCAGGTTGAAATATGTGTATAGCAACCTATGGTTGTTGTAATATACAAGTAACATATACATGAGTATCCAGCACCACTTGATTCCAAGTCTAACTTTGAAATATAATGCCAATGGATTCAAGCACTGCACCAGAGGGTCCCTGTGCTGAAAATCAAACATGTGAACTGATCATAGGGAGATGAAATATCAAATTCAAAATCAGCATTTTCTGCCATATAACGTGTCTATGACATACACAAGAATATCAATTTAGCCTGATTCCAAATTTATCTTTGCAAAATTATGACAAACAATTGAACGCTAAGTTGTAAGCAAGTTGTTTAAATTATCAGCCAATAAGTGAGAGCTGTAGACATTTATCTTCAAACCCTGAATGAACTAATCCAAGCACTGGACAAACACATCCCAGTGTTGAAAAACAAGCATTCATGCTGAAGCTTCAGCAGATCAAATATCAAATTAAATATCTATATGTCTTGTGTCCGTGGCCTGACATAACCAGAGTTTCCCCCTAGTTTAAGTAGCATTGTTTGCATTTCTTATTTTATGGAGTTAAGCATATAACAAATGTACCATTATAATTATTGTAATTATGCAGATTAAATTCATGTATCTGAGAGGGTTTGAGTGGTCTTGGCATGGTCAGGCTGGTTAGGTTCACTCTCAGTTCAGTGCCCTTGCCCCTTTACACAGGAACAAGCACATGGGACTCCCAGGTAGCACTTCCTAATTGAACCCACCCAGAACTAGTCCGAAAATATGTAAGAAGGGTTGTATTCTTGGCAGCGAACTTGTGTACACTCCAACTGTCAGTCAACAGAGTTGGAGGTACCAAACATAAGGCTTGTGTCAGCGATTACTTACTCTCTCAACCCACTCATTGTAACATGGTGTCTACCCTTGTAATACTTACTCCCTCAACCCAACCACTATAACATGGTGTCTACCCTTGTAATACTTACTCTCTCAACCCACCCACTATAACAAGGTGTCTACCCTTGTAATACTTACTCTCTCAACCCACCCACTATAACATGGTGTCTACCCTTGTAATACCTACTCTCTCAACCCACTCACTATAACAAGGTGTCTACCCTTGTAATACTTACTCTCTCAACCCACCCACTATAAAATGGTGTCTACCCTTGTAATACTTACTCTCTCAACCCACCCACTATAACAAGGTGTCTACCCTTGTAATACTTACTCTCTCAACCCACCCACTATAACATGGTGTCTACCCTCCACCCTTGTAATACTATAACACTTACTGTCTACCCTTTGTAATACTTACTCTCTCAACCCACCCACTATAACATGGTGTCTACCCTTGTAATATTTACTCTCTCAACCCACCCACTACAACATGGTGTCTACCCTTGTAATACTCTCTCTCAACCCACCCACTATAACATGGTGTCTACCCTTGTAAATACTTCTCAACCCACCCACTTACTCCTCAACCCACCCACTATAACATGGTGTCTACCCTTGTAATACTTACTCCCTCAACCCACCCACTATAACATGGTGTCTACCCTTGTAATACTTACTCTCTCAACCCACCCACTATAACAAGGTGTCTACCCTTGTAATACTTACTCTCAACCCACCCACTATAACATGGTGTCTACCCTTGTAATACTTACTCTCTCAACCCACCCACTATAACATGGTGTCTACCCTTGTAATACTTACTCTCTCAACCCACCCACTATAACAAGGTGTCTACCCTTGTAATACTTACTCTCTCAACCCACCCACTATAACATGGTGTCTACCCTTGTAATACCTACTCTCAACCCACCCACTATAACATGGTGTCTACCCCTTGTAATACTTACTCTCTCAA